CTTGTGGGCAGGGCAAACACTTGATTTAGAAATGAACAAATGTTCTATGAAGATTTTTATAGCCACCCTGCTCATCATTAGGGATTTGGAAACTATTATCCAGAAAGAAGTTCCATGGAGACATGGCCTCAGAATCCTACCCTCAGAACACCAAGGTCTGGCCTGTCAAAGGGTACATGTTAGAAACAGGAAGCTGGCGACAGCTCCCAGCTCCCAGGTGTTGGTGTGCATTTGTCCCTACATCCCCACTGCCTGAGAGCATCGTCTGGGAGGAAGAATTGGGTCAACGGCACTACACACACAGCTCTTCTGATGACAAGTTTTATATGACAATACACACTGAATGATAATGCAACAAACAAGGCATGGAGCTCAGACTCAGCCAGGAAAGCTGCCGCAAGGAATAAGTTTGGAACTATTCAGTAGTGCCAAACACTAACACTGTATTTACAAATCTAATTTGGAATCTGGCCCTTTTTGAGTGCAGGAGGAAGTTGGGGGAGAAGCCATGCATGAAATAAAAATATATATACACAGACATAAACACCCACATTTTCATACTTCTTTCACCCATTTTCTCCACAAAGAACAAATGGGAGAAAGCAAAAGCCAAGCCCCTTTACGTAGAGTCCCTGTATTTACTACAGATTTATTAGACAAGCCCCACATGGGGTTTGGATTCAAGGAGGCAGACTTCATTCTCCTTGGCTCCACTTACCCCTGACAAGTTACCTGGTGGGGACACAGGCATCAATATCCAGAAGAGGCAAGGAAAAATATGGCTTACTTAACTTATACATTACACACCAGGGCCTCAGTTTCTCCAAGTACTTTCATACTTGGTCCTTCACTAGATCCTTAGCAGACTTCTAACCTGCAGCAACAGAGTTCAGTGAAGCTGTAAGACCCAGAGGAAAGCAGTATTTTGATCCAGCACGCGCTGGGTCAGTCACTTCATCCAAGACAATTACACATCCCAGCCCCAAGTAAGTCCTCAGGGGCTTCCAGCTGTTTTCTTCATGGAGTAGAAGTTTGGGCTTTTTCCCTCCCTAGATTTCTCCTTGCTGCCACTGCTGAGTTCTCCGCTGTTCTCTCTGGACCCAAGACAGCTGCTCCAAGTGCATGTATTTATTGTTCTGCTGCTGGTGGCTCCTCCCTGGCTGCTGGCTCTTCCCCGGCAGCTGGCTTCTCAACCTGTGACTCCGGAGGAATCAGATACTGGACCTCCTCTGTGCTGATGGCTACTTTATCTGGCTGCAGCCACCTCTTGAAATGTTCCAAGGTGCTACAAAAGAGCAGAAGAAAAGGGTGGCTGTGTCAGACCTCACTGATTAATTACTTAATGATTATCTCAGTTACTCAAATACTGCCTTCCCGCCCACCACCAATTTCTTCCTACAATTGTTTTTCACTGCTAACACGGGGAGTACAAGGATACTCCTCTGACAGCTGTGCATCCTGGCAGCTCTGAGGCATAATTTACCCCCTAGTGGGCACTTTGGCTATAAGCAGCACCAGGCTCCCTTCAAGTGCAGAGCCTCTGAAGGCTTGATGAGAATAGCTGAAGAGTTTATGCCTCAGTCCTGTCTTTTTTTCCTCAAAACTGGAGAAGAGAGAAATGATTACAGGGAGGAAACACTCAAATAAATACCAAATTATTAGTGAGGTTAGCATCTTATGCCTCTTACACCTGAGCCAGTGTGGGGCTCAATATACTTATAGCGCTTACTTGCACTAAGTGTGACTTTTTTGTGGGTTTATTTCATCCTATAGCAAGTCCCCAAGATGAAAATATCTGGGCAAATGTTTCCCACAAGGGAATAACCACTATGCCAGAGGCCTCTCTTTTTGTTTGGATCTGTAGGGACCAAGCTCTCCTCCACCCTAAAGCTATTAGACATTCACAGTAAAATATATATGACTAGAGATAATGTAAACCCCATTCTATGTCCTTCAATAGCACAAGGTCTTAATCCAAGAAATAAAGTCGTAACACCAGATTTTAGACATATATCAATGTATGGAGGAATTATGTTTTGGGCAGTGGGATTTCTCAGCCCATCACTCCCTTCCAAAAGCATGCTCCGAGGAGGCTCACCGGCGGGCCCTCACATGCGTGAAGACCCACACAAATCCACTGCAAGATGGCCTTTGTTTAAAACATAAACTGTGAAGTTTGAAAACAAACACATAACTACGGTTTCCTGGTGTTTGTTCTGAACAATGATAGAAAGAAGTGTTCCCACAGATGTAGGCTTAGGGGAACAACTCAAACGTCAGAAGGCAGTGGGAGCACCTGATTGGTCCCGGTGGCCACAGCACAGGAGATTCAGGTGACATGGCATTTAATCTTCATCTACCACATTTTTCACAGAATTGTTCAAATTATTTCTATAGACGGGAAAACCACATTATTTTATGTACTGACAATACCCAGAAACATGCCAATCTGATTTCAGACAGAGAAAAATTCCTACTTGAGAATTACACAAGAGAAAATTTTATCTTTTTTTCTCAGAACTGGAGAGGAGAGAAATATTTAAGGGGAAAGAGAATATATGTAAATACCAAATCACTGGGTAGGCACGATGGCTCACACCTGTATTCCCAGCACATTGGGAGGCCGAGGCGGAAGGATCACTTGAGACCAGGAGTTCGAGACCAGCCTGGGCAACAGAGTGAGATCCTGTTTCTACTAAAAATAGAAAAAATTAGCCAGGCGTGGTGGCGTGTGCCTATAGTCCCAGCTACTCAGGAGGCTGAGGCAGGAGGACAGCTTGAGCCCAGGAGTTTAAGGTTGCTGTGAGCGAGGCTGACACCATGGCACTCTAGCCCGGCCAACAGAGTGAGATTCTGTCCCCCACTAAAAATAATAAAATTAAATAAATAAAACTTCCTCCCTCCCTAAGACACCCAGCACAATGCTATTACATAGCAGATGTTTAATAAATTCTTTCATTTAATCTAATATCTTAATGAGTAGCTAAAATATGACAGAAACTCTGTAATGCAATGGAATTTCAGGGGTAAGAAAACATAGTTGTTAGCCAGGTGCGGTGGCTCATGCCTGTAATCCTAGCACTCTGGGAGGCCGAGGCAGGCAGATTGCTCGAGGTCAGGAGTTCAAAACCAGTCTGAGCAAGAGTGAGATCCTGTCTCTACTATAAATAGAAAGAAATTAATTGGCCAACTAATATATAGAGAGAAAAAATTAGCCGGGCATCGTGGCATGCCTGTAGTCCCAGCTACTCGGGAGGCTGAGGCAGGAGGATTGCTTGAGCCCAGGAGTTTGAGGTTGCTGTGAGCTAGGCTGATGCCACGGCACTCACTCTAGCCTGGGCAACAAAGCCAGACTCTGTCTCAAAACAAAACAAAACAAAACAATCTTCATATTATCTGGCCTCGATTGTCAAGATTGAAGGTACTCTTTTGGGCTGGAGAAAGTCTTCCCCTCTCTGAATGTGCTGAGTTCCTGATCAGGTGTGATCTCTATAGTGCAGGCAGAAACAGGCGCTAACACATATTCTAAACCTGCCTATCATGTCTTCCAGTCCCTGCCATAGGCAACAGAATGGTTCTTATTTCCTCAGAGAACGAAATTTTAATTATCTTCTTAACTAATTTTTCCACATCACCATCTCCATGAAAGTTTCTTATAACCCCTGGTCACATAGCACCAACAAACCAAAGGATCTGGTTCTTCAGCTTTCTTAGACTGTTGCTTCTTCTGCTTATCATTGTTAAGCAGATGCTCTGGCTATCACATGCAGAATTTTCAACTCCGTTGGCCATGGCTGCAAACATTACTATCCTATCTTTGGAGGCCTCCTGAAAAATTTCACAGTACTCCCTTATCTTTCCATCACTCCACCTGTGTTTTTCTCATATCTTTTCCCTCCAGTACATCATTAACAAAATTTCTTTTGTTTTCCCAAGATATTTCTTAGCAATCACGTAAGTGCTCTTCTGACTCATTTTTCTGTCCTTTCTCAAAAGCTGCTTCTTTGTGAATTGCCTTTTCTTCCTCAAATAATTACTCCCAGGTTTGGTTTTGGGACACAAAGATGGGTCTCATGGTTGTTCCACAATAAAGGGATACCACAATTCTAAAGACTGGCAATCCCTGGATATTTCTTTGTCCTCTAGTGTGGAACAATCTGAATCTCTTTCCTGTGTTTGCAGTCTCTCTTAATACTTACACTATGGTCACAGGACAGGACCTGAAAATGTGTTCAGGAAATAGTAAAAAAATATAGCAGCCAGGTGTGGTAGCCTGTAATCCCAGCACTTTGGGAGAATCGCTTGAGACCAGGAGTTTGAGACCAGCCTGAGCAATATAGTGAGACCCCTATCTCTACAAATAATTAAAAAGTTAAAAAATTAGCCAGGTGTGGTGGCCCACACCTGTAATCCCAGCTACTCAGGAGGCTGAGATGAGAGAATCACTTGAACCCAGGAGTTCAAAGCTGTAGCAAGCTATGATTGCACCACTGTATTCCAGCTTGGGCAACAGAGGGAGATCCTGTATCTAAATAAACAAAATGGCTAACAAGAGACAAAATGAATCTTATGTCAACATCCTCCCATTCCCAACAATCAATCTATTTAATATAACAGTTTTTCAAACTCTATCATCAGAAATTTCCATGTAGTTCCAAGGCCATGACCTCTTCTTGCAGGATGGTTTAACGTTATGTGAATATATGGGCAACCAACAGTAGACAAGATGATTTTACAGAAAGCTAAGAAATAAAACAGAGTTTAGATGAAATGGCCAGAGGCAAGAGGTGACAAAAACTGTTTTAAGGGATGTTCAAGGAAAGAGGGATTGTTTCCTAACAACAAACCTGAAACACCCCTTAGAATTATATCTGATAGACACATGTGGTGGTGGGGGGGGGGAGAATAGGAAATCAGGTTAGATGTAACAGAACTTCAACATGCTTCCCTAAAACCACCAGCTTCTGATTAAAACAAACAAAAAAAGCCATTTAACTTACCTAGAGATGCTAAATACATTTCTGAATCCTGCAAGGGAGCCCAAGGCTTTATAGGTAGCTCAACAGCAAAGGCTGCTGCCCCTCTCTGGCCTTCACTTTCAGGGTAAGAATCCACAAAGGAGTCTGAGAAGGCATTGCTGGCACCATCTTCTTGGTCAGGATTTGGCAAACAGGAACAGATTTCAGCCCAGAGGTCCCGGCTAGATCTTGTGGATGTACAGTCAACACCTTCAAACATTTTCATTTGGAATCTGAGCTAGAAAACAGAAGTTCAAGTGAGTAAGGACTGGCTTTAAAGATACAGTGAAAGTATGCAGTAGCCTGGGCGAGGTGGCTGACACCTATAATCCTAGCACTCTGGGAGACCAAGGCAGGTGGATCACTCAAGGTCAGCAGTTCGAAATCAGCCTGAGTAAGAGCAAGACCCTGTCTCAAAAAAAAAAAAACAACAACAACCTTCATCCTCAAAAATCTGCTGGACTAAGAGCAAACAACGAAACATTATAAAGGTTGATTTCAACTCAGAATTGCTGATGCTAATGTCAACTAATATCAGGACTCAGATGTCACTATCCCTGAATTCTTTAGAGAAAGAGAAATGCTCTCAGTGAAATAGACTGTCACCTGGAACTGGCCTGGGAATAAATTACCTCTCATCGGAATCAAGTCCATCCACAAAGAACTCTGATGCTAACTTCTCCTGGAGGAACCGATCCCAGCATTCCTTCTTGGCTTGGGCCAGGGTTCGAAGCATGTCCTTGGAAGTGACTTCCTGATTTAAACCTTTGATTCTTTTCAGTTTCCTCTCTACAGAGAGAGAAGTGAAGCTTAACAAGAAAAGTACGACACAAAATTTTAACTGAATCTAAAATGGAAAATGCCAACTTCAAAATTCTCTCACTGATGAATGTATCCCTACTCCCTGCAAAAGAAGTCATTCTTTAAGTATAGATAAAAGAAGATTGAACATTCTCCTTTTTCCTTCACAATGTCCTCACCCTGCTTTATAGTAAATAAATGTTTAGCCCCAGAAAAGGGAAAAGTCATAGGTTCTCATAAATAAATCAATGGCATGTTTTCTTTGAAATCACATAAGCCCAGCAGGTATCTCTCTAAGAAATGCTTGTTTTCCTTGGCTTGACATGTGTATACTATTGCCTTTTTCAACTTCTTGAAAATAATCTGAGAAGTAAATAGTTTTTCTTTTTGTTACAGTGACAGGAAGTAGTTTGTAAACCTCACAAGAAAGAATTAGATAAAATGATGAGAGATCCAATGGTTCATTAGATACTAAAATTGACTTGATGAGAACTCAATACTAAGAGAGCTTTAAGATCTCTATGTGTGACTAAATTCTTGATCAAAGAAAAACAACCTCTTAATATTTTTTAAAGTTGCAAAACTTGTGGCCTGGATGTTAGAGACTAATAAAAACAAATATCTTAGGCCGGGCGAGGTGGCTCACGCCTGTAATCCTAGCACTCTGGGAGGCCGAGGCGGGCCGATTGCTTGAGGTCAGAAGTTCGAAACCAGCCTGAGCAAGAGCAAGACCCCGTCTCTACTATAAATAGAAAGAAATTAATTGGCTAACTAATATATATAGAAAAAATTAGCCGGGCATGTTGCGCGATGCCCTAGTCCCAGCTACTGGGGAGGCTGAGGCAGCAGGATTGCTTGAGCCCAGATTGAGGTTGCTGTGAGCTAGGCTGATGCCATGGCACTCACTCTAGCCTGGGCAACAAAGTGAGACTCTGTCTCAAAAAAAAAAAAAGGAATTCCTGCAAGCCAGACATAAAAGGACAGATATTGCATGATTCCACTTATATGAGGCACCTAGAGTAGTCAAATTTATAGATGCAGAAAATAGAATGGTGGTTGCCAGGAGCTGGAGGGAAGAGAAATGGGGAGTTATTGTTTAATGGGCATAGAGTTACAGTTTGGAAAGATGAAAAATTTCTGGTGATGGATGGTGGCTATCGTTGCACAACAATGTAAATGTCACTGAACTATATATACAAAAATGGTTAAAATGGTCAATTTTATGCTATGTATATTTTGCCACCCACACACACAAATGAATTTCTAGACACTCCCAGTATAGACAAACCATCCTGCACTTTTCGCCAAAGCTCTCCAAAATGCAACAGCTCTATCCTCAGCCAATTAAACTCTGTCTTCAATAGAATATAGCCTAGTGATCGCTTCGGCAGCCCATATCCTACAATTGGAACGATGCAGAGATTAGCATGGCTCCTAAGCAAGGATGACACGCACATTCGTGAAGTGTTCCATATTTAAAAAATATTTTTTTAATAAAAAAAATAGAACATAGACTAAAGGTCTTTTACAGTTCCACATACATGAAGATAGTAAAAGTGTTGTTTGGTGAAAAGTGTTTGTCAGAGAACACTGTCATAATGCAAGAGGCATGTGCTCATTGTTATGTAGATGCTGAGCTATATGCCTCATGTTCTTATTTTCATAATCAGAAACACTGAAGATAGGTATTTTCACCATTCTACATATGAAGAAACTGAGGATCAGAAGGGTAGCTTACCCAAGGGCACTTTACCGACATATGGTGAATCCTTGATTAGAAACCAGACCTCTGTTGCTCCAGAATCCATGTTTTTACCCAATATCATGCCTGTTTGGAAAACATACTGAAAGCAGCCCAAGCACGAATAGGTGGGAAGGGCTACACAAAGAGCCTGGAGGCTTTCCTAACTAACTAGGCTTACAGTATGGGTTGACATCTTTCAAGAGGGGCCTCAGAGATCAGGAAGGCTGCCTGAGACAAGATCTGAGTAATTCCATGCGACAGAACCCATCAGTGTAAAGGCCCGGAAGTAAACGGGACAGCAGCCCTAGGCGAGTGGATGTCAGGGGTTAGAATGAAACCCCACCCCAAGTCGTCTGAACTCACCCAAACCAAAACTTTGCTCCCACCAGAGCCTCGCGTCCCCCCGCCCCCAGGGCGTCCAGAACTGCACAGAAAACCCTGTGATGTCCAGACCCCAGGCCTCAGTCTTTATGGTCTCAAGGACTGGCTAGGAGGGATGTATCAGGTCCCAGGTCTCTCTGATATTCCGGGGTCGAGGTAGAGAGGGGAATACAAAATTCTGGGCAACGCAGCCCCGTCTCACCTACCATACCAGTCTGCCGAGCAGCCCGCAAACGCTCGGCTCAGCTGTGTAGCTGGCAGCCGGGAAGAAATGGGTGCTGGAGTCTCCGAGAGACGAAGCCCAGGAATCCTCCAATTACCGCCTGACCGGGTGATGTTCTGTGCGTCAATTGGTCGAGTAGAGCTCGCGAGTGAGGAAGCCAGGAGTGCAGTGCCGGGAAGCGGTGGGCGGGTCTGTGGTTGCCGGGAAACCGTGGAGTCACGTGTCCTGAGCCCTCCCCCGCCCCTCCCAGTTTGGTGCCTTGTAGATAGATCCCAGGTTCCAGCCTTCCACCCACTCACTCTCCCTTTGCTTGGATCTGAAAGCCGAGTTTCCAAGACCTTTGACTTTCTTGATCCCCAGAGTAAGTCCACCTCTTTGACAATTCTCTCTGTCGGTGTTTATTTCTAAAAATTTCACCCGTTCCCTACCCAAGTTAGCGCACTTTGCTGGCCTCTTTCCTCACAGGAGACCCGTTTTTCCATTCACTGAGTAATGAAGCTTACCTTCATTCAGTCAATGGACACTAAACTCCTGCTGTTTTCTGGGCATTATGTCCAGTGTGAATTTAAAACACATAAGGTTTGGTATGCCCCCAGTGATTCTTACAGCTCAGAGGAGGCAGACACCATGGAGGCAGACAAGTTTGCAATAACAGCAAAGAGTTATAAAGCAGTGGTCCCCAACCTTTGTGGCACCAGGGACCAGTTCCAAGGAAGACAATTTTTCCATGGTGCAGGGAGGGGAGGGTGGCGGGGCGGGTTATGGTTCCAGGATGATTCAAGCATATTACATTTATTGTGCACTTTATTTCTATTGGTATTACATTGTCATATATAATGAAATAATTATACAACTCACCATAATGCAGAATCTAATGCTGTGGCTGGGCTGACAGGAGGTGGAGCCCAGGCAGTGATGCAAGTGATGGAGAGCGGCTGTAAATACAGATGAAGCTTCTCTGGCTGTGCCCACTGCTCATCTCTTGCTGCCTGGGTTGGGGACCACAGTTATAAAGGATATGATGGAAGTTTGGCCCGAGAACATAAAGGAGAGAGTGGTCATGACAAGTCCATGTCAGAAACAGTTTTGTTTTGTTTTAAGGAGATAACCTTTGATATCCTTCAGGGAATATCAGCATGTTCATTGAGAAACAACCTGTTCACATCCCAAACTTCAGGGCCTGTTACTCTTTCTCAAGAAATGTGATAGGCCGATGCTGTAATCCTAGCACTCTGGGAGACCGAGGCGGGCAGATTGCTCAAGGTCAGAAGTTCAGAACCTGCCTGAGCAAGAACAAGATCCATCTCTACTATAAATAGAAATTAATTTGCCAACTAATATATATAGAAAATATTAGCCAGGCATGGTGGGACATGCCTGTAGTCCTACTCGGGAGGCTGAGGCAGCAGTCCTACTCGGGAGGCTGAGGCAGCAGGGTTACTTGAGCCCAGGAATTTGAGGTTGCTGTGAGCTAGGCTGATGCCATGGCACTCACTCTAGCCTGAACAATAAGGTGAGACTCTGTCTCAAAAAAAAAAGAATGTGATAAAAGACATCAGCCAACCACCAGTAGAAGTAACTTGGGCTGAGGAAATAGTCATAGTCTCTAGACGTGTCCAAATCCAATCAATGTGGCTATGGTACCACCATGCAAAATACACAAGGTACTTCTGTTGTAGATTTTTTTTTTTTTTTTGGACAGAGTCTCATTTGTTGCATAGGCTAGAGTGAGTGCGTGGCGTCAGCTAGCTCACAGCAACCTCAAACTCCTGGGCTCAAGCATCTGGCCTCAGCCTCCGAGTAGCTGGGACTACAGGCATGCGCCACCAGCCCGGCTAATTTTATATAGTATATATTAGTTGGCCATTAATTTCTTTATTTATAGTAGAGACGGGGGTCTGTGTCTTGCTCAGGCTGGTTTCGAAACTCCTGACCTCGAGCAATCGCCCGGCCTCGGCCTCCCAGAGTGCTAGGATTACAGGCTTGAGCCACCGCGCCTGGCTTGTTGCTCACATTTTATTTTTCTTTTCTTGAGGCAGGTTCTAGCTGTGTCACCCTGGCTAGAGTGCAGTGGTGTCATCATAGCTCATTGCAGCCTCCAACCCCTTGGCTCAAGCGATTCTCCTGCCTCAGCCTCCGGAGTAGCTGGAACTGCAGGTTACCACCATGCCGGCTAATTTTTATTCTATTTTTATAGGTAGGAGGAGGTCTTGCCGTATTGCCCAGGCTGGTCTTGAACTCCTGGGCTCAAGTGATCCTCCCATCTTGGTCTCCCAAAGTGCTAGGATTACAGGTGTGAGCCACTGTTGCTCACATGTATAATCATTCTTAGAATATACAAACAGAAGGAAGCGGAAAATAAGAACATTAGAAGTCCAAGGAGCAAACAATAGACAAGATTTTGGCAGTGCTTATTATAGGGAGAGAGACGTGAATCTGGCAGTATCTGATTCACAGGAAGGGGCACTGTCCTACGTTTATGAGTGCTTCATCAAGGTACTCCATGGTCTCATGACTCACTTCAGCTCTTTTCTCTGATTTCATGCTCAACAAACAAAATTTTTTTTTTTTTTTCCTGAGACACCATCTCACTCTGTTGCCCAGGCTATAGTGCCGTGGAATCAGCCTAGCTCACAGCAACCTCAAACTCCTGGGCTCAAGCAATCCTTCTGCCCCAGCTTCCCAAGTAGCTGGGACTACAGGCATGCGCCACCTGCCTGGCTAATCTTTGCTATATATTTTTAGTTGGCCAATTAATTTCTTTCTATTTTTAGTAGAGATGGGGTCTCGCTCTTGCTCAGGATGGTCTCAAACTCCTGACCTTGAGCGATCCTCCTGCCTCAGCCTCCCAGAGAGCTAGGATTACAGATGTGACCCAATGCCCCGGCCCAAACAAACTCTTGATTTCAAATTTGGCCTCTCAGGAATCTTAATACCAAGATGAGGTTTCCTTTTACAGTAGTCACAAATAGCCCAGTCATGGGAAAATTACATTTTATGATTTAAGCTTAAAGTTATGAATGAACAAATTGGCACCCTACCAATTCACCCATGTTTTCTGAGTCTGATTGATGTGTGCACTGAACAAATCCAAACCAGATCCTGGTCTTGGAAGGCTGAAACCATAAGCCAAAGTAAAACCATAAGCTGCCTCCCTAAGGACTGCTCACACTAGGAAACCATGTGAAGCCAGTCAGCAGCCCTCTACCTTGAGCTTTCTCCTTCAATGCAGTGTGATTGCACTAATATGTTTTTTAATGTCACCTCAACCAGCCTAAGCCTTCATTGAGATCAGGAAACATGTCTTTCTTACCTCCCTATCTCCAGAACCAAGTCTGGCATATGTTCAAAAATTGTTTGCTGTGTGAATATTTGAGCTAGAACCCTCATGGTCAAGGACCACACTGAACTAGAGCTAAATTTGTGATTCTCTCTCCAGTCATTTCTCTGTGTTGCAACCAGGGTGATCCCTTTGGAATGGAAGTCAGATCCTCTCTCTCTCTCAAACACACAAAACACCCAAAAACTCTTTGATGATTGATTTTCTTTTGTTCTTAAAAATAAAGACTTAAATCCTTATCATAGCAAATTAGTTGGATTTCTTAATTCAAACAACAGAACTAATTCTAACCAGTTTAGGCAGTAAATAAAATTAACTAAAGCAGCTCTGTCCAATAGAACTTTCTGTGATGATCGAAACACTCCTTGTCTGACCTGTCCAATGAGGTAGCCCACTAGCTTCATGTGGCTATTAAGCACTTGAAATGTGGCTTAGTTTATTTTAATTAAACTTAAATTGCTATGTGTGGCCAATGGCGACCCTACAGCACAGGATTGAAGCACAGGATTGAAGAATATTTAGTAGTTCACAGAATCTCAATGTGGGCAGAGAGTTAGGCTTTAGATCCATACAGCCAGAAACAGTGTCTAAACCTCACTGAGGGACTGCTCAGGGAACACCCCACTGCTACTGCCACTACAGCTGGAATCGTTGACTGGGCACTGGATGCAAGAACCTCCCCTGCCATTAGCTTCCCAAAACAGATGCCTCCAATGCTACCTTGTCAGACATGGATTCCACACTGTGCCTTCTTCCACTGCTGTATGAACCAATGCCTGTGCCTGAGAGATGGAGTCCAGGTCAAATGCCTATGCCCAAGCTGCAAGAGAAGCTGGAAGGGCTTCCACCTCTTGGCGGCAGTAATGTAATGTGAGAAATTCCCCACTCAAAAGAATAGTGTTCACACTCTAGCCTGGGCAACAGAAGTGAGACTCTGTCTCAAAAACAAACAAACAAAAGAATAGTATTCAGAAAATGCTTGATGTCCATAGAGTATGACAAATGTCTACTCTACATGGTCTATGCCAGTGCTTCTCAAACTTTAATATGCAGACAGATTACCTGGGGATCCTGTTAAAATGCAGATTCTCATTCAATAGGTCAGAAGGGGAGAGGGGAACAAGATTTCTTTTTACAGTTGCTTACAGTAAAGGAACAAGATTTTTTTTTTTTTTTTTTTTTTTTTGAGACAGAGTCTCACTTTGTTGCCCAGGCTAGAGTGAGTGCCGTGGCGTCAGCCTAGCTCACAGCAACCTCAAACTCTTGGGCTCAAGCAATCCAATCCTGTCTCAGCCTCCCCAGCAGCTGGGACTACAGGCATGTGCCACCATGCCCGGTTAATTTTTTCTATATATATATTAGTTGGCCGATTAATTTCTTTCTATTTATAGTAGAGACGGGGTCTCGATCTTGCTCAGGCTGGTTTCGAATTCCTGACCTCAAGCAATCCGCCTGCCGCGGCCTCCCAAAGTGCTAGGATTACAGGCATGAGCCACTGCGCCCGGCCGGGAACAAGATTTTGATATGTTTTCTATCTCCATAGTTTTGCCAGGCACTATTTTAAGTGTTTTACTCAAAGTTACTCGTTTAATTCTCCCACTCCAATCCTATGAGGCAGAGAGGCTAGCTAAGAATGCATACTTTTCTTTTGGATAGGGTGCTACTCTCATTGTGAATACCTTAATAAGGTGACTCGCTTGAGAGATAATGTCTGTCCTTTGAAGCAACTTGGTTCTAATGCACTCCACAATCAGTGGAAAATTCTAACTCTCATTTTGAGAAGGGAGTCATGAATCAGGCTTTTCAGCATATTGAGTTTTGTTGCTGTGCCTGCTCTAGAATAAGAGTGTCAGCTGAAGTCCCTCAATTAGTTTGGTGAGACTGATGACTTGAAGAAGGAATTTAGCTTAAAAAAGTTTCCCTTTCTCCTCTCCAGAGTGCTAATGCATGTGATAAGAATGTCCTAAATCAACACTGGCATTTTATATCACAAAGGCCCAGTGAAGGCTAATGCTCAGTGTATTGAATTGGACTGAGCATTTGTCCCCTTTTTTTGGCACCCTAGCATCCAAACGCCTACCTATTTGGAGGAATCCCACTCTGGAAACTTAAGAGGGTTAAATTCCTCTATTTACCGGCACCCTGGAAATGAGGGCTCAAACCAGTGACCCAGGCTTGGCTGATGGAAGGCTCCCCTACAGAACTCTGAACCTTGAGAAAGGGACACAGAGACATAGGGGGATTTAGGGATTTCCGAGGGGTATCAGGGCTGCAGGGCAGAGAGTCCTTGGGCACGACATAGTGTCTGGTAGCTACAACATCCCAACTGGGCTTCTTCCCTGGCATTAGGTGGGATTAGTTCTCAAAGGCCTTGACTTTCCTTGATTTGGCCCCTCATCTGAGTCTATTCTTCAGATCTCTTGTGAATTCTATGAGGCACTGATATCCTTTGCATAATCCCTTCTCTGATGAAGTTAACCAGAGTTGGTTTCAGTATCTTGCATTTAAGAACCTTGGCAAGTACGGTCATCTGATCCATTTGCAGTTTTAATTTCAGGATGGGAGCATATGGGAGGCAAAATGGGAGACATCTAAACCCTTCTCATGCTGGTAGGGTTAAGGAGAAGGATGAAAACATTGTTTCTGGGCTTTGTGTGTGTGTTAAATACATATATAACAGCTTTATTGAGACATAAGTCACATGCTAAAATATTAACCGTTTTAAAATATACAATACAGGCTGGGCGTGGTGGCTCACGCCTGTAATCCTAGCACTCTGGAAGGCCGAGGTGGGCGGATCGTTTGAGCTCAGGAGTTCGAGACCAGCCTGAGCAAGAGCGAGACCCCATCTCTACTAAAAATAGAAAGAAATTAATTGGCCAACTAAAAATATATAGCAAAAATTAGCCGAGCAGGTGGCGCATGCCTGTAGTCCCAGCTACTTGGGAGGCTGAGGCAGGAGGATTGATTGCTTGAGCCCAGGAGTTTGAGGTTGTTGTGAGCGAGGCTGATGCCACGGCACTCTAGCCCAGGCAACGGAGTGAGACTCTGTCTCAAAAAATAAATAAAATAAAATATACAGTGGTTTTTCATATATTCACAGTGTTTAGTAACCTTTATTCCAATTGTTTGCGTTTTTTGTTGTTTTAAATAAAGCTCCTTTCAAGCATTTCTTCAGACCCATGGGACTCTGAGCATATCTACACGGAATCTACACAATCAACTCCTGCTACGGCTTTTAGACAGAGCAATCCCAAAGATTTCTTTTATGAAGGAGTTTGCGCAAGGTCACTTTTGGTGAGACAACCTCACAGCCTCTCAACTCTACAGTCAAAGCAACTCTTCTAACTCAATTCCAATCACTCACTCGCGCACTCATTTATCTCAGACTCCCAGCCTCAGTACTGGGCCTCACTGATTGGCTGGTGCCGAGTGACGTCCTCAAATCGCGACTCTGGCGGAGGGCCATGAGGATATGAGGTTTGGCGGCCACAGCTGGCTCCGCGCTTTCTGGCCGTGGCGCTGCCGCCTCCGTCACCTCAGCTTTGCAAGGACTTGGAGTGGCTGTAAGGGTCCGATGGCGGAAACTCTCTCGACTGGGCTTGAGGCAGCAGGCGAACTGAGAGATCCGGCTCAGCAAAACGGAGACGCTGGTGGCGAGGCGAAGGGTGAGGGGCTCCCAGGGCACCCAGAGCCGGCGGCCCCAGGAGTGGAGCGGACCCCAGGAGGCAGCGAGCAGGCTTCGGCTGCAGCCCGGGGCCCAGGCAAGCGGAAGAAGCGGCGGGGCGCAGCCGGAGAGCGCGTCGTGCCGCCCCCGAAGAAGCGACGGGCTGGGGTGAGCTTCGGTGATGAGCACTTTGCAGAGACCAGCTACTATTTCGAGGGCGGCCTTCGCAAGGTGCGGCCCTATTACTTCGACTTCCGGACCTACTGCAAAGGTCGATGGGTGGGTCACAGCTTGCTGCATGTCTTCAGCACCGAGTTCCGAGCCCAGCCCCTGGCTTACTACGAGGCCGCCGTCCGGGCGGGCCGCCTGCACCTCAACGAGGAGCCGGTACAGGACCTCAGCATCGTGCTTAAGGTGGAGTCCTGGTGGGGCTGGCCAGAAGCAGGAGAGGAAAGAGGGCAGGGTTTTGTTTGTTTGTTTGTTGTTGTTTTTTCAGACTTAGTAGAGCATAGGTACTGGAGTGAAATCATGGCAATTCGGAAGCGTTCTCACTTTCACTTGAAACACAACATTAGCCCCCACTTCACATCTCCGCAAGTGGACAGTCAGAACTCAGCCTGTTTATCCTGTCCGTCAAGGCGGCTTTCTCGTTTGCAAGGGACAAAAGTTGGAATTCTCACAGTACCTTTTATACACTGTATTGTGGCAATCATACTGATCACTTTCTACCCTGCATTGTAGATCTCTGTACAAATAATAATAATAGGGGCTATCATGTATGTCTCTTTACTGTGTGCTGGGCACAAAGCTAAGCATTTTATGTACTTTAACGTTTAATTCTAACGACAACTTTGTGGAGTGGGTATTGCTGCCACATTTTATCTACGGAAAAACTGAGTAAACTAAGGTAAAACTCACAGAGGTAAGGCAACAGTGCTACTTACAAAGCTTGTGTTTTTATAACTACTACTTAAACTACTTATTATAGAGCCCAATGTGTAATAGAATTGTGAGATATCACCGATAGAGATATATAATGGTCCAGCCCAGTGCTTTGACTCCTTTAAAATTCCATCACAGCTAAAAGGTACCAGAAACCCCTGTCCTTAACACTGGCTCGCATGGTTGTGAGGGGAGACAGTGTGATTTCAGCATTTGGAGAATGGAGGATTTGAATCCCCTCTCCTATCCCAATTTTGAAATGCACAGGCCTGGTGTAGCCCTCACATTTTACAGGAAACTGAGGCCCAGAAAAGTTAAGTAACTTACCCAAAAGCATGTAGCAAGCCTATGGCAAATCCAGGTCCAGAGCCCATATCTCTGGACTTACAGCTTGATGTTGTTGGTTTGAGGTCATGATTAGTGATGATTTATGGAGGTTTTTCCTTTATTTAAAAATTTTTACTTTAAAATATGATTTTATGGCCAGATGAGGTGGTTCATGCCTGTAATCCTAGCACTTGGGAAGCCGAGGCAGGAGGATTGCTTGAGGCCAGGAGTTTGAGACCTGCCTGAGCAAGAGTGAGACTCTGTCTCTACAAAAAGATAGAAAAATTAGCCAGGTGTGGTGGGGCACACCTGTAGTCCCAGCTACTCAGGAGGCTGAGACAGGAGGATTGCTTGACCTAGGAGTTTGAGGTTGCAGTGAGCTATGATGATGCCACTGCACTCTAGCCTAGACAACAGAATGAGACTCTGTCTCAAAAAAAAAGAAAATTTAGGCCAGGCATGGTGGCTCACACCTGTAATCCTAGCACTCTGGGAGGTCAAGGCGGGAGGATCACTCAAGGTCAGGAGTTCAAAAAAAAGAAAATTTATATATATATAAAACTTTATTGTAGAGAAAATGCATAGGCTAAGTCCGGGGCAGCCACATTCCCAAGACAGATGGGGAATTGCTACAGGACCTGGTGGCAAAACCAAAAGACATAATCTCACCACCCATAGATAACACCATTAACTTTTTTTTTGTCTGTCCTTCCAGTACTTTTTCTGTGTCAGCTATCCACCTGTATGTCTGTCTGTATTTTTACAAAATGAGAGCACACGATGCACACTGCTTTTTCTGCTTAAGGATGTACTGTGACCATTCTTCCATGTTAATAAGGAACAGGGGGAGCTGGGTAGGAAGTTGCCTCATAACAGGCTGCTGGCCCCTAAGCTGACTGGTTACCCATGTCTTTGACAGGACAATGATTTCTTGCGGAACACAGTGCACAGGCATGAGCCACCAGTCACAGCAGAGCCTATTCGCCTACTAGCTGAGAATGAAGATATGGTGGTTGTAGACAAGCCTTCCTCCATTCCTGTCCACCCCTGTGGCCGCTTCCGACACAACACAGTCATATTCATCCTGGGCAAGGAGCACCAACTCAAGGAGCTACACCCACTGCATCGGCTTGATCGCCTTACCTCTGGGGTACTCATGTTTGCCAAGACAGCTGCAGTCTCTGAGAGAATTCATGAGCAGGTTCGGGACCGGCAGGTGAGCCAGGCTTTTGTCTCCTGCAAGCCACTTCCTTCTTCAGGACAGTCAACACATAAAGTGCCAGATGCACGTTATTAGCTCATATAGTTCAAAAGATCTTTAGATTATCAATTCCAGGAGTTTCTTGAGAAAAAATAAAAATAAATAAATAAATAAAAAAGATCTTTAGAGATCGAGTATACTGCTTCTCTTGGTGATTTGCTGTTTTGAAGTTTTAAAGTGCTGACCAGACTAAATAAGGTTTTTAAAATTGTGGGGAGAGCCTGCTTGTTGTACACATTGTAGATGATGTTGAAGACCCTTGGATAGAAGAGTTTAATGATAATGATTGTCATCTTGAGACTTGTAATTCTGGATCTGGATTGTAATACATTTATTGAGCACATACTGTATACCAAGTTTAGTAGAGCCTAACTTACTGCTTCTAATAGCCCTATAAGATAAATGTTTTTTCAATCTCAAATTTTCTAGGTGAGTTCATGGGATTTACAAAGGTTAAATAAGTAATGTACCCAAGATCATGAAACTGGCAAATGGTGGAGCTAGGGTGGAGAAATGGTGTCCAAATCCACTTCTAGGCTGGGCATGGTGGCTCACGCCTGTAATCCTAGCACTCTGGGAGGCTGAGGTGGGCGGATTGCTTGAGGTCAGGAGTTCAAAACCAGCCTGAGTGAGACCCGGTCTCTACTAAAAAATAGAAAGAAATTAATTGACCAACTAAAAATACATATACAAAAAAATAGCTGGGCATGGTGGCGCATGCCTGTAGTCCCAGCTACTTGGGAGGCTGAGCCAGTAGGATCGCTTGAGCTCAGGAGTTTGAGGTTGCTGTGAGCTAGGCTGATGCCACGGCACTCACTCTAGCCTGGGCAACAAAGTGAGTCTGTCTCAAAAAAAAAAAAAAAAATCCATTTCTATCTCACACTGGTGCATTCCTTATTTCTCTACAGAGGGTTTGGACTCCATGAGTTTAGGCTTTGTACTGACTTTCTCCTTCTTCCCTCCTATGCAGCTGGAGAAGGAATATGTGTGCCGTGTGGAAGGGGAGTTCCCCGCCAAGGAAGTGACCTGCAAGGAACCCATCTTAGTGGTGTCTTACAAGGTCGGGGTATGCCGTGTAGATCCCCGGGGCAAGCCCTGTGAGACAGTGTTCCAGAGGCTAAGCTACAATGGCCACTCCAGTGTGGTACGGTGCCGGCCACTTACAGGACGTACCCACCAGATCCGAGTCCACCTTCAGTTCCTGGGCCACCCCATTCTCAATGACCCTATCTACAACTCAGTTGCCTGGGGTCCTTCCCGAGGCCGGGGCGGCCACATTCCCAAGACAGATGAGGAACTGCTGCGGGACCTGGTGGCAGAGCACCAGGCCAAACAGAGCCTGGATGTGCTAGATCTCTGTGAGGGTGACCTGTCCCCAGGACTCACAGACTCTACAGCCACCTCTTCAGAGATGGGCAAGAACAGCCTGGAAGAGGCTGCAGCCGCCCAGAAGATGGATGGAGTAGTTGAATCAGCCTCTAAGGATCTGGACACAATGGCCTTGGCACCAGAGAAGGCAGCTGAAAAAGATGTTATGAATCAAGAGACAGACCCACTCTGTGCAGAGTGCCAGTTGGTACGACAGGATCCTTTGCCCCAGGACCTTGTGATGTTCCTACATGCCCTAAACTATAAAGGGCCAGGCTTTGAGTACTTTTCACCCATGCCTGCCTGGGCACAGGATAACTGGCAAGAAGACTGAGGGCTGTGGCCAAGGAGGGACTGCTCCTTGGATTGGGACAGGGATAGGCCATAGGGCAGAGGCCGACCCCATGGGCTGGTGCTCTGGGTTTTTATAGGAGTGAAGTTGGGCTCTAACAGAAAACTATTCGTATACTGCTACCCCTCTTTCCCTCCACTGAGGTTTGGAACTTGGTCGTAGTTTATAATATATCTTTTTTATGGTCAGCATGTATATGATCGTCTGTTTCTTTACTGTTTGTTTCTTACTGTTACCACGTCTCACTCTCTTTGCCAGACTAGACTGCTCTGCATAGCCTAGCTACAGCAACCTCAAACTCCGGGCTTTCAAAAAGTATGAGTTTAAATTAGGATCCTGGTCTCGAGCCTCCCAAGTACTCGGACTACAGCATGCACCAGCCATAGCAGGCATGCACCAGCCTGAGCGAACCTCGCGCTACAAAAAATTAGAATTAATGACCAAAAGAAAAAAAAAAAACAAAAAAATCTAAATATGCGTATACAAGAAAAATAGCTGGCATGGTGCCACTAGTGTTCTCCTATATTTTTAGTGGTCAGCTAATGTCCTATTAAGAGACAGGCTTCTTCGGCTCAGCTGATTGTCCATACTCCTTGACTAGCCATCCGCCGTCCTCAGCTTCCAGAGCTAGGTACAGGATGAACTAGCCGTTCCTGCCACCTACGTTTTTGAGACAGGTCTCACTTTTCCACTACGAGGAGTCCCGCGGCTCAGCCTGCTCAACAGCAACCTCAGTCTCCGCGTCACACCTACTCCTCAGCTCCGAGTAGCTTGACTACAGCATCGCACCCGGATCCAACTAATTTTTTATATTATGGCAATTAATATTTTATTTTTGTAGCAACGAGTCTCGCTCGGCTCGAACTCCTGACTTGAGCACGCCCGCCTTCCGCCCAAATGCTAGGATAAGCTGAGCACGACACGCCCTGTTTTTTGTTTTTTTATTTCATATATGGGGACATTAACGTTCAAAATAATGCCATTTCCCCCTCCCCCTGTTTTTTTTTCGTTTTTTGTAATCTAGCATTTTCTTTCGCGACATGTTCTTAGAAAAGTAGAACCTCATAAAACTAACACTAAATAATACACTTATGCCGCTGATTATACATCTAGGGAAGTAACGATAACTACTTTATACATTAGATCATCACGATCGCCTGTACAACCATCACCTCTTGGATATTTCCAAAACATTTTCATCACCCTATTACAAAACCTGTATCCATTAAGCAGTTACTTTCCACTCTCCTCCCAGCCTCTGGTAACCATTAATCTACTTTCTATCTCCATGGAATTGCCTATTCTAGATATTTCATAGAAATGGAATTATATAATATGTGACCTATGTCTCTCTTTCACTTAGCATGTTTTCAAAGTTCATCTAATTGGTAGCACATACGAATATTTCATCCATTTTTATGGCAGAATAATATTCCATTGTATGGGTGTCCTATATTTTGAATATCCATTTATCAGTTGATGGATATTTGGGTGGTTTCTACCTTTTGGCTACTGTGAATAGTGCTACTATGAACATTCATGTACAAGTTTTTTGTTTGAATACAAGTTTTCAGTTATGAGTATACAACTCATAGTGTAATTGTTAGGTCATATGATAATTCTACATTTAATTTTTTTTTCTTTTTGAGACATAGTCTTGCTCTGTCAAGTGCAATGGCTTAATCATAGCTCACTGTAACCTCAAACTCCTGGGCTCAAGCAGTCCTCCTGCCTCAGCCTCCTGAGTAGCTGGGACTATAGGCATTATGCCCAGCTATTTTTTCTATATTTAGTAGAGACAGGTCTCACTTTTGTTCAGGCTGGTGTTGAACACCTGACCTAGCAATTCTCCCATCTCAGCCTCCCAGAGTGCTAGGATTACAGGCATGAGCCACTGTGCCTGGCCTCTTAAGTTTTTGAGGAGCTACCAAACTGTTTTTCACAGTGACTGAACCATTTCACATTCCCACCAGCAATGAACAAGTGTTCCAGTTTCTCCACATGCTTGCCAACACTTGTTGGTTTCTGTTTTTTTATTATAGTCATTCTAGTAGGAGAGAAGTGGTATCTCATTGTGGGTGGTTAGTCTTTGTTGTTGAGTTGTAAGTGTTCTTTATGTATTTTGGATATGATGTCCTTATCAACAAAAAGACTAACAACTCAATTTTAAGAATGGGCAAAATACTTGAATAGACATTTTTCCAAAGAAGATAAATGGCCAACAAGCACATGAATAAATGCTCAACATTATTTGTCATTAGGGAAATGCAAGTAAAAACAGTGTGGCATTAGTATAATGATAGACATGTACATTAATGGAATCCAATGAAGAGTCCAGAAATAAACCCATACATCTAAGGTCAATTGATTTTTGACAAGAGTACCAAGACCACTAAATGGGGAAAAAGAATAGTCTTTTCAGCAAATGGTGATGGGAAAACTGGATGTCCACATGCAAAAGAATGAAGTTGGGGCCGGGAACGGTGCCTCAGGCCTGTAATCCTAGTACTCTGGGAGGCAAAGGCAGGAGAATCGTTTGAGCTCAGGAGTTCGAGACCAGCCTGAGCAAGAGTAAGACCCTGTCTCTACTAAAAAAAAAAAAGAAAAAGAATTAGCTGGACAATAGAACGGTATATAGAAAAAATTAGCCGGGTATGTGGTGGTGCATGCCGTAGTCCCAGTTACTCGGAGGCGAGGCAGGAGGATGCTTAAGCCCAGGAGTGAGGTTCTGTGAGCTAGGGCTGATTGCCATGGCGATTTAGCCCAGGCAACAGAATGAAACTCTGTCTCAGAAAAAAAAAAAAAGAATGAAGTTGGACCCCTACCTGATCATATATAAAAATAAACCGAAAATGGATCAAACACCTAAATGTAAGAGCTAAAACTATAAAACTCTAGAGAGAATATGGAGTAGTCTTCATGGATTACTTGGATTGGCACAATGATTCTTAGATATAACACCAAAAGTACAACCAAGAAAAGAATAAACTGGACTCCATCAAAATTATAACTTTTATGAGTCAAAGGACACTATTAGTAAAGTGAAAAGACAGGCTACAGAAAGGAGAACATTTCAGAATGATGGCATGGGTATAAGAAGGACAGATTCTCACTTTTGTTGCCCACTGAGTGGAGGCCATGGAGCAGCCAGCTCCACAGCCAACCAACTCCTGTCAAGCAATTTTCCCCTGCCTTCACCTCCTGAGTAAGCTGACTTACAGCATGCGCCACCATGCCCGCTAATTCTTATAAATAGTGCCAATTATTCTTTTCATATATAGAGCAGGTCTCGCTCTGCTTGTAGTCGAACCCCTACCTCGAGCAATATCGTCCCGCCTCAGCCTCCCCGATGCTTAGCATACAGGCATGGAGCCACCACACTGGCCTATTTTAATTTTGAGAACCTCTACTTTTTTCCAAATGTGCACCATTTTACAATCCTACCAACAATGTACAATGGTTCCAATTTCTTCAGATCCTTGCCAACACTTGTCATTTTTTAAATTTTTTGATAGTGGCCATCCTAATGGTGTGAGGTGATATCTTATTGTGGTTTTAATGTGCATTTCTCTGATAATTAGTCATCTTGAGCATCCTTTCATATGCTTGTTGGCCATTTGTATATCATCTTTGGAGAAACATCTATTTAAGTCCTTTGCCCATTTTTTAAATTGGGTTACAGTTGTCCTTTGGTATTGGGTCCAGGACCTCCCCCCACACTGGATACCAAAATTCACAGATGCTCAAGCCCTTTATATAAAATGATGTAGTATTTGCATATAACCTGCAAATATCCTCCCATATACTTTTTTTGTTTGAGACAGTAAGTTTCCGTCTGTCACTTGGGGTAAAGTGCCATGGTGTCAACCTAGCTTATAGCAACCTCAAACTCTTGGGCTCAAGCTATCCTCCTGCCTCAGCCTCCTGAGTAGCTGGGTACCACCACGCCTGGCTAATTTTATCTATTTCTAGTAGAGTTGGGGGGCAGTAGTCTCACTCTTGCTCAGGCTGGTCTCAAACTCCTAACCTCAAGCAATCCTTCTGCCTTCAACTCCCAGAGTGCTAGGTTAACAGGTGTGAGCCATCACACCCATCTGAGCTGTACAGTCTTGAATGTGTTTTTCCCCCTTGTAAATGGTAATTTTTGTCTTTTTTTGTTATTTAAATAAATAAAAAACAAAAAATTTTTTTTTGTTATTTAAATAAAGAAAAATTGCTCAGGTATTTTTAAATTTAATTTTTATTATAGCACCTGTCCTCCCCTATACTAGAGGTAACCACTACTAATAATCACATGGTCTCCTTTCTGTTTTCTATTCATAGATACATAAATTTACATGTATTTCATTTAATAAAAATGAGATCATGCCCTACAAATTGTTCTGCAACTTGCTTTTCTTTAGGACCTTTTTAAAATAACTGCATTGTGTTCCATTGTACTGTAATGCATCCCCCACTGGTGGAATTTTAGGTGTTCGCAGTTTTTCATTATTCTCAGACTGTAGTAAAACATCCTTATATTATATTCTTCCACACTTGTACCAATGTTTCTATGGAACAACTTTTTTTAATGTAATGGGGTTAATACCTTTAAATATTGATGGGTAATACCAACTGCCCTCCAAAACAGATTATATCAATTTACATTCTCTCCAGCAGTGTGAGAGGCAGAGGCAGCGCAATGTAGTGACTGAAACAGCTGGTCAGGCAGCTGCATGTTCAAGGTTGGCTTTGGTTGCAGCCCTGGGTTGTAACCATGGTTTCCTAGAATATCTGTATCTCTTAATAGTTGATCTAAATTTGCTTGAGTCCATCTTGCTTCCAAATGCTTTAGAGAAAATGAGCTCATTGTAAAGCCTCCTCAGGTCACTGGTCCTTAGGATTCAGACTTTCTAGAACATAAGTGATATAGTTTGGGTATTTGTTCCATCCAAATCTCATGTCAAAATTTGATCCCTAGTGTTGGAGATGAGGCTTGGTAGAAGTCCTTTGGGTAGGGAAAGGTGTGGATTCCTCACAAATGGTGGTGACTTGATCGCACACTTCTAGCCTCCAGAATAGAGAGACAACATTGTTGTTGCTCAAGCAAAAAGAAAAATAAAGAATGTTAAAGCCCTGTATAATGGGCTGAAATAAAGGCTGACTCTGTTACATTGTAGATTATACCAAAAGTGATTACTGACGAGTCATTGAGAAGAGCGTTGATTGGAAGTGATTCTTATAGTGAGTACCCAGGAACTGTCATAAAGGAGCTTTCAGTTTTTTGAAAGCTAAAAAATCCAAAAAAAGACATCCATTTTTCAGATGTCAAGTTTTGGTGCTATTCAAGAACTTAAAAATCGGAACTCTAACTACATAGCTATTATTAGCTATCAACAGAAAACTGACAATTGAGATGACTTGATCATTTTTATTGGTCCATTTTAAACAACTGTTTACTTTTTGCTAACTATCCATTGCTATCTCACATGGCATATACCTTCAAGTGTTATTTGCACTTCTGCTAGTTTATTGGCATTTATTCATTCATCTTAGCTTTCCTAAGCAATGTTACTATAAACTGAATTTCAGTTTTTTCTCTACTGATCTTCAATATGACAAAATTATTTAATTTTCAGCTCAGTAGACATTCCCAGAAGCTGTTATAGCAAGGTAGATATTTTCACATGATAACATGCAGCTCAGGGGATGATTTGAGCAAAGAAAAACTTTTCATGTTGGTGTTGCAGACGCAGAGAAGAATGCCTGGATTCACTCTAGAACCTCTTCAGGCTCTGTCATGGCTGTTTTCCCAGAGCTAGTTTTCCAGTGGGTTCGCAATTCCTAATGGTAAGGAAGAGACTGACCTCACTTCTGTCATTGCCTGCTTCTGAAAAACAATCTTTGCTAGTCATGGAGCCTGAGGTCTGGTTTTTTCTTGCAAGAGTTAAGAAATAAACTGTCAACACACAGATACACAAAAGCACTGATTTCAATTCTTCTTTTAGAGCTGCTGACACATAATGGCCCATCTGGGCTGCAAACCAGCACCAAATAACACTGGACATTTATTCTCAGAGAACCTCATTCTCAATAGAGAGAATGGGTCTTTCTGAAGCTGGATTCAGAGAATGAAGACGTATTCTTTGACACTCAAGTAGAGAGAGAGCTGGAATATCTTGGTAATGTATTTGTGCAACAGGCTTTGTGTATGTGTGGTCTCCTAGAGGTTGAGGGGTCCTGCTATACTTCTAGATATTACTTGTGAGGAAGAACCCTGGTGTTGATAGAGAATGGTTTCTTTGAGCTGTGGTTTGTTGATGAATTTCAGGGGAGCCAGAGGTAGACCCGCAGTCATATAGGTGTTTCCAAAAGTAGCAACCGTTCCTGTAGAACTATCTTGTACAAGTCTTGCCGTTGCAGCTGCTCCAGTAGATGGCGCCTCTCTTTCACTGCCAGCTTCTTACAAACTTTCTCCATTACTAATTCAATTTTCAATTATTTCTCACCCTTTGCTCCCGCCCTACCCCCCCCAACCCCCCCAACCCCGGCTTTTAGATATTCTGGCATGTTGTTGATTCTTTTTTTTTTTTTTTTTTGAGACAGTCTTGCTTTGTTGCCCAGGGTAAGGTGGTTGCATGGGCAACTAGCTCACCAAAGGCACCTCAACTCCTGGGGGCTTAAGCAATCTGCTTTTGCCTCAGGGCCTCCTTGAAATTAAGGCTGGGACTTACAGGCATGCGCCACAATTAACCTGGTAATTTTTTATATTATTATAGTTGTTCATTAATTCTTTTTCGTTTTTATTGGTTAGAGATTGGGGCTCGCTCTTGCTCAGGCTGGTTTTTGAAACTCCTCTGACCTTCAAGCCAAGGTTCCGCCCGCCTCGGCCTTTCCCAAGTTGCTAGGATTACAGGTTGGAGCCACACGGGCCCGGCCTGATTTTTGAACTTTCTTAAAAAAAAAAAGAGAAAATAAGGCAACAGTATGGATTTCAGGAAAAATTTTTCAAACATTTTAAATTTTGGCAAAAAAAATGGGACTTGTTTTTCAATAAAGGGCAAAGTGGTTATTTTAATAATTTTTTTCATATGAAAGACCTTAAGTGAACAAAACTTAAGCTGAAAAAAACAGTAAAGAACTTTAAGGAATAGAAAAGTTTGAGTTTAAAAGGTTGTGGATTGGTATAAAATTTTAAAAAAATAGCCCGGGCGTTGGGGATTTCACCGCCTGTAAATCTAGCACTCTGGGAGCCGAGGCGGTTGCGGGATTTGCTTGAGGTCAGAAAGTTCGGGAAAACCTGAGGGCAAAGAGTGAAGACCGTCTTTTTTTCTTTTACTATAAAATAAGAAAAAGAAATTAATGGGGCCAACTTACAATATTATACAAGAAAAAAATTAAAGGCGAGCATTGGTTGGACATTGCCTGTAAGTTCCAGCTACTCGGGAGGCTTGAGGCGCGGATGCTTGAACCCCAGGAGTTTTTGAGGTTGCTGTGAGGCCCAGGGCTGACGCCACGGCACTCACTTCTAGCCTGGGCGGGACAAAGCGAGACCTGTCTTTTTCAAAAAATAAAAATAAATTTAAAAAAAAGTGGAGGTTTTCCAAACTCACAAATTTTTCCCTTAGAAACTCGTCCAGAAATGTAATTATAGGAAAAAAAAACTCTACCAAGCTGGAAATTTCCTTTTGAAGAAATTAATTTCCGCACATTTTTTATTATAGAGAATGGATGCATCAATAGACCTTAATCAATTTTCCAAAGAAATCATCAAACTTGCAAAAACTTGTCCAAAACTCAGAAAAATGAGTAGTCTTTTTGCTGCCTCCAAGAAAAGAGGCTGCAGGCCAACTAAATAGCAATTTAAAATAATTTGGCCTGGGCAGGGTGCTGAGAAAAAAAAAAACCCAGACGCTGGCAGGAGCATCTAGGAGGGGAACAAAGGCCCAGAAGCAAGAGAGAAAAAGCCACAGGACTAACTGAGAAAAGCAAAGAAGGAAGCTGTGCAAGGCTTGGCAAGGGACTAGGTAGGGTGCAGATTGGGGATAACATCTACGCTGAGATCTTTCAAGGGAGGAAAACAAAAAAAAGCCAGGCCCAAGCAGTGATAGATGAGGAAGGAAAAGTGGGACGAGAACAGGGAAAACTTTTTCCAGGGAGGAGAAACCTAGGGCAGCATCTGGCCAAAAGTGTAGGAAGAGAAGTAAGGGACCTAGGTTTCCGGGGGAAGGTACGAAAAGCAGTGTCAATTCAGACAAACTTTAGAAAAGAATCTTTCAGAGGCTCTTTTTTTTTTTTTTTTGAGACAGGGTCTTACTCTGTTGCCTGGGCTAGAGTGCCGTGGCATCAGCCTAGCTCACAGCAACCTCAAACTCCTAGGCTCAAGCAATCCTTCTGCCTAAGCCTCCCGAGTAGCTGGGACTACAGGCATGCGCCACCATGCCCCGCTATTTTTTTCTATATATATATTTTTAGTTGGCAAATTAATTTCTTTCTAATTTTAGTAGGTACAGGGTCTCACTCTTGCTCATGCTGGTTTCAAATGCCTGACCTTGAGCAATCCGCGCCCCCCCCTCGGCCTCCCAGAGTGCTAGGATTACAGGTGTGAGCCACCTCACCTTAACAGTGACACAGACCTCTCTGGCAGCCCGGTGAAGCCTATGAATCTCTTCCCAGAATATTGTGTTCAAATGGATCAAATTAAGTATGTTGGAATATATTTATCAAAATATCTTTAAAATGTGTGATATAATAATATAATAATGTATGTACTTCTTTATGAATGCATAACATTACAAGATCTAATGACAAGTCTAATAATTACCAAAATTTTGAAGTAGCGAGAATGAGTGTAAAGCCATAATGGTAACGTAACACAAAAATATCTGTGATTTCTATTGGGACAAAGGAATGAGTAAGGTCAATATTTATTGTTGTTTGTTGTTTACTTTTATTGAAGGAAGTGCTTTAAATAAAAGATTATGAAAATAAGGATGAAAATTTTTTTCACAACCAAAGAATCCACTGAATTCTATCCATGGACCCCTTGGCAATGTGTAGACCCAGGATGGAAACACTTCTGAGCAGCAGGTTGGAGAATGGATTAGAGAGCTAGGCTAGTTAGGTGAGATGTCAATATTCCCAAGGGATCGGGATCTATACCAGGGAGGAGCCAGTGGAGCCAACAGAGAAGAGGCTTCCCGATGTATACGTGTCTTGAATATCTGCAGCCTGCTGGGGGTCAGAAGAGACTGCTGAATACTCTGTGTCGCTGTAGTTTTTGAAGTCAAACCTGATATTTCATTATCAGGACAAGTATTAAAAACGCTAGGGTAAGAGTCCACAATAATTGAAACCCCTCAATTAGGAGCTAAGTTATCTTAAGTTGGAGCAGACCAGCATTGGAACATATGGGTTGGTAATAATCGTAGAATTCTATGTACTATTGTTTGCTTCACATAAAAATAAATTAAATCAAACACATTTTCTGATTTCCAGAAAAAGTCTCTTTTCCTTTCTTTTCTTCATTTCTGAAGTCAGAACCCTCCAAAGACTGTATTTTCAATATCTGAAAATCAAGACCGGAAACAGCAGAATAAATTGGCTCATAAATCATAACTGCATCATTCACCTACTTTCCCGTCTGCAAATAAATTTCCCCTTTATTTGAAGCAAGAAAAAGAAAACGCTACGACCGACGAGGATGGGATTCGAACCCACGCGTGCAGAGCACAATGGATTAGCAGTCCATCGCCTTAACCACTCGGCCACCTCGTCCCAGAAGCCTACTGTTTCCTGATAGCTATAGGGAGTAATAGTAGGAGGGATGTGACGCAATCTTATGGAAGCCGCCATTTTGTACGGAAGCCAAGGTCTGATCACTTTTGTAACAAGCAATCGAAAGAAGATGGCCGCTCCCGTGATGTGGAGGCGTCTGCATTGGGGATAAACAAAGGAAATTCAGTAGAAATTGAAATAAACTTGAAAGAAATAAAATTGGCACAATGGCGAAGAAATTTGATTAAAGGCATCGTAGAACTGGGGTTGGTGTGGAGTCAGGGGCGGAGCCAACGCGTAGAGCAGCTTTGCGCATGCGAGTCGGCTGGGCGGTTAGATTTGAACATACTTCTCGGTAGCTGGCTGGGCGTTGTGAGGTGACGGCGAGCGGCGGCGGTGAGCTGCCCCTCTCAGGAGCGTGCGGACTGCAAACAAGTTTGAGCAGAATTAGTCAAGCAGGCGGGCCGCGGTGGGTAAAGAGAGTGACCCTTTCGTTCCAGGCTCCTGGGAAGACTTCGGGTTTTGTCTGAGCGCTCTGAAGATCCCGTGGCGGACGCTCCCTCAGCCGGGCGGCCTCCGGTAGCACCAGGCCCAGAGTAGGCGCCTCCGCCCCGGGTGCTGGGCGCTTTCTTTCCTCACCTTGGCTTGCACATTGTGCCGCCTCCCTCCTCCCTAGCACTTCTCCATCCACACCTGGGCCCCTCGGGCCGGCTTAGGTGGCTTGTTTGTGGCTCTCTGGGGGGTCCCCGCCCGCCCCGCCCTGCTATCTTCTGTCTGAGTTCGCGGACTCTTCCTCGCACCCCAGTCCTCCCGGGGGAGCTCACGGCTGTTTGCATTTCTGACTTAAGCTTTTCTTGGCTATAAATGAAGTGACAGCAGTAAGTGGTTTTAAAATTCTCGGCTCATCATGGTTTTTTATTTTTATTTTTTTGCAAGCGTGAAAGGAAATTTATTGAGAAAGGGCAAAGTAGGTTTACAGAGCAAGAGGTAGGTTCACAGAGCAAGATACGTTCGCCACAGACGACGAACGGACCCCTCTGTCTTAACTAAAGGGGTCACCATGGTTTATTTGAGGTGTCTGATCGGAGTGCTAGCAGCATGTAACAGATTTTCGGTTTTCGGCAGGTATGATAACATTAACAAATAAAGTCAATATTAGTAAGCCACAGATTAGTGTTTTAAAATCTTCCTCTGTTCCATTATTCAAGCTCAGGATTTAAGCCACTTTTGCGGTTTAATTAAATATTCGAGCTTGTGTGCGTCGGGGGGAGAAGTATCGCTGATTGGGATTTTACAGGTAGGTTTATTAGGCGTTTACAGAGATAAAGGATGTGGATGAAGACCAAAGCAGAAGCTTATTCTAAATATTAAGATTAAAGTTTTCAACTGAGTTGAATTGGGCCAATCGAATTCCTTAGATGTTTATTGGGTTCTTTGTTTCTTATTTATTTATTTTTTTTTTGCGGGGAGAGGGGCGGTTCTTTGTGATTGGGCTGGGAGCAGATGATTCAGAGTCCCTAAACTAAAGAGGCTTACAATTCAGAAAGGGAAATGATTAATATATACAAATAACTATAATACAAGAAAGAATGTAAAGGATTATATGACATTCTAAAATAGTATGGGAGCACAGAGAAGGAAGAGCTTATTTGATGCTTTTGGCAATGGAGACTAACATAGAGAAGGTGGTATTTGAAGTGGAACTTGGAGGGATGATTTACAGAGATGGGGAGTTAATATATTGTATAGTTTTGATAATTAAAAGTTAGGTTCAAAGCAGTATAATTCTTCTTGACTATGTGAATGGCTGGAAATGTTTACAAGATGACAAATACATGTAAATTGAGTAAAAATATTTGGAATTGTAGTAATGATGTGTTTGATGCTAAATAATAGACTGTACAAGATATTATAGATATTGATAATAGGACAGGGCTGTCCAATAGAACTTTCTGTGATAATGGTAATGTTTTATATCTATACTCCAACATAGTATCACATTAGGCACATGTGACTACTGAGCACCTGAAATGTGGCTATTGTGACCAAAGAAAAATTTTAGTTTCATTTAAATTAATTTAAATGTAAATACTATGTTGGATAGCTCAGGTCTAGTCTATATCATTGGACACTGGAAAATATTAACTCTAGATACTGGTAGTGTAAATGCAGGAATGGGCAAAAAAGCCAAATAGTAAATATTTCAGGCTTTGTGGGCTACACGGTCACTCACATTGTCTCTGTCACATATTCTTTGTTTGTTTTCTACAACCCATTAAAAGTATATAAAAACCACTCTTAGCTCAAAGGCTGATTTGGCCACTTGGCAGTAGTTTGCAGATTTCTGTATTATTTACACTAGTTGTTCCCAAACTTTCTTGGTTTGTGGCACCCATAGACCAAAAGAAATACCTACGAGTTCCATTTATTAGGTACAGTAATTAGGTCCAAACAACTTAATAAGTATTTATGTCCCAGACACTTAGTAACCATTTGAAAACAATATACATAAATTGAAGGAAAAGGTGATAAATTTTTATTTTATTCTTAAATCACAATTTCTTACTAATTGGATATATATATATAACTGTTGAACACTGCACAATTTGTCAAAGCTTGGAATCAGTTTGTACACTGCCACTTAGATATCATGTACTAATTTAATTAAAAAGTGCTTGCTTTTTATCATAGCAACTGCCAAAAATCTAGCTTCACAATATGTTATTAAAACTAATGTAATGTGAATGAGCTAGCAGTTCACACAGTGCCCAACATTTGAAGAATTGCTCTGCAGGCCAGGGGTGGGAGGCTTAAGGTCAGGAGTTCAAGACCAGCTTGAGGCCGGGAGCAGTGGCTCACGCCTGTAATCCTAGCACTCTGGGAGGCTGAGGCAGGTGGATTGTTTGAGCTCAGGAGCTCAAGACCAGACTGAGCAAGAGTGAGACCCCCATCTCTACTAAAAATGAAAGAAATTAGCTGGACAACTAAAAATATATAGAAAAATTTAGCCAGGCATGGTGGCACATGCCTGTAGTCCCAGCTACTCTGGATGCTGAGGCAGAAGGATCTCTTGAAGCCCAGGCACTCTAGTCCAGGCAACAGAGTGAGATTTTGTCTCAAAAAAAAAGACCAGTCTGAGCAAGAGTGAGACCCTCATCTCTACTAAAAATAGAAAAATTAGCCAGCCATTGTGGCAAGAGCCTGTAGTCTGGGCTGCTTGGGAGGCTAAGGTTGAGGATCTCTTAAACCTAGGAGTTGGAGGTTGCAGTGAGCTATGATAATGCCACTGCACCCTAGCTAGGGTGACAGAGTGAGACTCTGTCTCAATTAAAAAAAAAAAAAGAATTTCTCTATGTCTCTCAAAACTTCAAAATATCTCAGGACACCTCTGTGAGTATGCTGTAGCACCCTGGGTTCCAATCAGTAATCAATCAATGTGGAACCAATCGATAATCAATGTGGCAGCCGTCAAGAGTTCAAGCATAACAGCATTTTATAGATGAAGCTTAATGTGAGAGTCTGGGGTCTCCTATTAATATTTTTGTTAAAGGTGGAACGTATGTAATAGAATATTTTAAAAAGGGGGACTTCAGTTGACATTTTGAATCTTAGTTAATTAAGTGCCAGGCTGGGTGCTGTGGCTCACGCCTGTAATCCTAGCACTCTGGGAGCGGATTGCTCGAGGTCAGGAGTTCGAAACCAGCCTGAGTGAGACCCTGTCTACCAAAAATAGAAAAAAATTAATCGATCAACTAAAAATATATGTACAAAAAATTAGCCTGGCATGATGGCATATGCCTGTAGTCCCAGCTACTCGGGAGGCTGAGGCAGTAGGATCGCTTGAGCCCAGGAGATTGAGGTTGCTGTGAGCTAGGCTGACGCCACGGCACTCACTCTAGCTAGCCTGGGCAACAAAATGAGACTGTGTCTCAAAAAATAAAAAATTAAGTGCCAGCTGGTCTGCAGATTGGACAGAAATGATGCTTAGTGACTATTTCAAACAGCAAAGATGTTTAGGTGATCTGGAGTTGGTAGTATTTAATATTTTTATCTGAGAATTTTCAATATGTGTACTGAATTTAAAAATATTTCCAAAGGAGAAAAAATATGCAAGTTGGTGATAATAAAGGTTGAAATAATTTTAATTTAAAGGTTGAAATAATTACTAATTAAGCAAACATTTGTTGAGCTCCTATTTTTTTTTTTTTATCTTAAGTTGTTTGTTTGTTTGAGACAGAGTCTTGCTCTGTTGCCCAGGCTGGAGTGCCATGGCATCAGCCTAGCTCACAGCAACCTCAGATTCCTGGGCTCAAGCAATCCTTCTGCCTCATCCTCCCGAGTAGCTGGGACTACAGGCATGCACCACCATGCCTGGCTAGTTTTTTCTATATATTTTTAGTTTTCCAATTAATTTATTTCTCTTTTTAGTGGAGACAGCGTCTCATTCTTGCTCAGGCTGGTCTGGAACTCCTGACCTTGAGCAATCCTCCTGTCTTGGCCTCCCAGAGTGTGTTGAGCTCCTATTTACAAAGCATTGCTGAGCTATAATAGTGAACATAAAGAGATACCACCCCTATTCTCATAGAGTTTACTGTTGTGACAAAGGTAGTTTGTGGAGATAACATAATTTACATAACAGATTTTTATTTTTTTTTACATATATATATATATACACACACACACACTTTTTTTTTCTTTTTGGAGGCAGAGTTGCACTCTATCACCTAGCTAGAGTGTGGTGGTGTCATCATAGCTCACAGCAACCTTAAACTCCTGGGCTCAGCTGATGCTGCTGCTTCAGCCTCCCAAGTAGCTGGGACTACAGGTGTGTACTACAACACCTGGCTAATTTTTTCTATTTTTAGTGGAAATGGGGGTCTCACTCTTGCTCAGGCTGGTCTCAGACTTCTGACCTCAAGCAATCCTCCCACCTTGGCCTCCCAGAGTGCTAGGATTATAGGCGTGAGCCACCATGCCTGGCCTACATAATAGATTTTAAATTACAATTGAGGTAATGCTACTAAGAAGATATATATATAGTGCTACAAAGAATGTTTTTCTTGTCTCTCTTACCAAGAAAGAGTAGCAAATAACACATTGATTCAGAAAAGAACTCTGCATGTGCAGTGATAAAAAAAGACTAGTATGGATAGCATAGTCAATGAGGAAGCTGTGGTATGATATAAAGTATGAAGTCTGAGAGGCAAGCAGGGACTAGATCTCGTATAGCTTTTTTTTTTTTTTTTTGAAGAACAGAGTCTCGCTGTTTGCCTAGGCTAGAGTGAGTGCCGTGGCATCAGCCTAGCTCACAGCAACCTCAAACTCCTGGGCTCAAGCCATCCTTCTGTCTCAGCCTCCAAGTAGCTGGACTAACAGCATGCGCCACCATGCCCGGCTAATTTTTCTATATATATAGTGGCCAATTAATTTCTATTTATAGTAGAGACGGGGTCTTGCTCTTGCTCAGGCTGGTTTCGAACTCCCGACCTCGAGCAATCCACCCGCCTCGGCCTCCCAGAGAGCTAGGATTACAGGCGTGAGCCATCACGCCCGGCCTCGTATAGCTTTGTGTAGGTCCTGATAAAGAGTTTATTCTCAGTATGGTGGGAAGCCACTGAAGGATTTTTTTTTTTTTTTTTGAGACAGAGTCTCCATTGCCCAGGCTAGAGTGAGTGGGCGTCAGCCTAGCTCACAGCAACCTCAGACTCCTAGGCTCAAGCGATCCTCCTGCCTCAGCCTCCCGAGTAGCTGGGACTACAGGCATGTGCCACCATGCCTGGCTAATTTTTTTTTTCTCTCTCTCTCTCTATATATATTTTTAAGACAGAGTCTTGCTTTGTTGCCCAAGCTAGAGTGAGTGCCGTGGCATCAGCCTAGCTCACAGCAACTTCAAACTCCTGGGCTCAAGCAATCCTGCTGCCTCAGCCTCCCAAGTAGCTGGGACTACAGGCATGCACCCCCATGCCCAGCTAATTTTTTCTATATATATTAGTTGGCCAATTAACTTCTTTCTATTTATAGTAGAGATGGGGTCTCGCTCTTGCTCAGGCTAGTTTCGAACTCCTGACCTCAAGCAATCCGCCCGCCTGGGCCTCCAGAGTGCTAGGATTACAGGCGTGAGCCACTGCGCCCGACCTTTTCTATATATTTTTAATTGACCAATTAATTTCTTTGTGTTTTTAGTAGAGACGGGGTCTCGCTCTTGCTCAGGCTGGTTTGGAACTCCTGACCTTGAGCAGTCTGCCCGCCTCGGCCTCCCAATGTGCTGGGATTACAGGCGTGAACCACCACACCCGGACTTGAAGGATTTTTAAGTAGGAATGTTTGTGTGGGTTTTTTTCCCCCATCTCCCCCCACCCCATGGTTTTTGTTGTTGATATTGTTGCTGTTGTTGTTTTTGAGACAGGGTCTACACTTTGTTGCCCAGGCTAGAGTGCCATAGAGTCAGCCTAGCTCACAGCAACCTCAAACTCTTGGGCTCAAGCATTCCTCTTGCCTCAGCCTCCCAAGTAGCTGAGACTAGACTCATGCTACCACGCCCAGCTAATTTTTTCTATGTTTTGTAGAGATGGGGGTCTCACTCTTTCTCAGAGTGGTCTCAAACTCCTGACCTCAAGCAATCCTGCCACCTCTTTGGCCTCCCAGAGTGTTAGGATCCTCCACGCATGGCCCAGCTGATGGGCTTTAAGGCTGTGATGTAGGAAATGTCTTAAATGTGATTTATGTTTTAACAAGATAAACCCCCTGCTGTGTGGAAAAAAGATTGTGGAATGATAGGAGTAAAAGCGGGATAACAATGAGGTGGGTATAGTAGTATTCTATGTGAAAGATAATGGATTGAGGATATGTATTGGAAATAGAACTACTAAGACTTAATAATGGATTGAACAGAATAGCTGTCATACTTGTTTGATTTTAGAGGAAAAATTTTCAAAGCTTAATCATTAAGTTGATGTTTGCGATTAGTTTTTTTTTTTTTTTGTAAGACAGGGTCTTGCTCTGTTGCCCTGGCTACAGTGCAGTGGCATCATAGCTCACGCAGCTTCAAACTCCTAGGCTCTTCCTTCAGCCTCCCAAGTAGCTAAGACTACAGATACAACATCCTCCCTACCCCCCATACACAGCAACCAGTTGTTCATTTCTGGAATAAAACCAACATAACCGTCATACATGACCCTTTTTACAAATGCTAGCTTCGTTTTATTAATATTTTTTATTTTTTATATATTTTTTAGGCTGGTCAAGTGAATCTTTTTGCTAATATTGTATTTAAGATTTTAATACTATGGTGATGAGATCAGCATGTAATCTTGCCTTGTACTGTATTTATCTATTTGTGTGTGTATATGTGATGGAAATGGTTGCAGGAAAGGGAGTTTAATTTTTATCTTCCATGGTGGGAAGACAGTTTAATGTCAAAAACTAGAAAAATAAAAAAATGGCAATATACACAAGTTATCTAGATTAACAAATTATCTAGATTAAATACAAAAATAATCAGCTAAAGGTAAAAGTAGCTGCTTTTGGGAAGGAGGATATTAAAGTGCAAGTTGCTGCTAGTTTAAAAAACAGCAATTTAACCAGTCTTATATAATCAATTCCTTATATTGGTGCATAACAATTAAAATTAAAAATACGATTTTAAGTAGATATGAATGTTATTTGTGAACAGGAGGTAAGTAAAACTAGAAGAATGGAAAAACATGTGGAGAAAGTGATCAAGGACAAAAGGAAAGGATCAGAGATCAAATTCTAAAAGATGCCCATAATTTTATCTACATTGACAGCTAATTGAATTCAGTGATACTAAAAAATAAGCAGACTTTTATTTCAGTTTGAAGTTCAGGTTTAGTATGAAGTAGTTCCCTAATTTTAAATCTACAATGGCATTTTTTTTATTACCTAGAGGTTAGGTTCTAAAGTTAATGCATAAAGTGAAAACCTAATTTAGTTATAGGGAGGCAGGAACCAAAACCAATTGAGGAAATTTCAGGTAATGCCTCTTATTTTTCTCTTTCCAGGGCAAATACTCACTGAGTGGAATTTCAAACATAATCAGCTACACTATTTAAAGTGTTATTTGTAAGTCTTAAGTTTTTTTGCTGAGTACTCATAGGCCAGGTACGTTGGCTCCTAGCACTCTGGGAGGCCAAGGCGGGAGGATCCCTTAAGGTCAGGAGTCCAAAACCAGCCTGAGCAAGAGCGAGACCGGTCTCTACTATAAATAGAAAGAAATTAATTGGCCAACTAATATATATAGAAAAAATTAGCTGGGCATGGTAGCACATGCCTGTAGTCCCAGCTACTCAGGAGGCTAGGCAGTAGGATTGCTTGAGCCCAGGAGTTTGAGGTTGCTGTGAGCTAGGCTGATGCCATGGCACTCACTGTAGCCTTGGGCAACAAAGCTAGACTGAGTACTTATAGTTGAACTTTCCTAAAATATGCACATAATGAAAATCTACTGTATTTAGATAACTAATTGACTTCCATTTTGGGATTGAATTATTATGTAATGCATAAGCTTTTATAAGTTAGGCCAAATTTTTATTTGAATCAGTAAAGTTCATATTACCTGGATCAGAGTTAGTCACTGATTTTATTTTATGTGTGAGAATTTTCCAGGAGTATTAATTATAATAGGAGTGGCTTAAAATGTCTGGTTTTATATCCATGCAATGTAGTTTTTTCCTTCCTGTTTTTGATGTTCCCTCAGAAAGTAACCCTAATGTCACAACTGTACTCTTAATCTCATCATAGATTGTAATTTCCCTTCCTATTTTCTCACTTTTTCTAATATTGTATGTTTGTTACAGAAAAAAATTTTCTCCAGAAATGGATGGGGTGCCTTCTGAGACTAATGAAGAAAAGTAAGTTCATTTAATGCAGCTAGAAATGTTATATTCTGACAGAGAAAGATATTTTTTCAGCTAATAAATTCTATCCATAACTTCTGAAATCTTTTCCCATTTTGTTCCAGGGAAAAGAAGTAAATGTTACAAAACAGTAACTTTCATTGCCATATATTTATATAAACTCATCTAAAGTCAAAACTGAGAGGAACTTTAGACGCCACTTCCCATCTCTTCAATTTAAGGATGGGAAAATTTAGGCGCAGGAAGATGAAGTGATTTGTCTAAAATTGTCATCACAAATTAGTGGCTTTTTGTAGGCTACAGACATAATGTTTTTGGCTTACACATGGTGCTTTTGCTTTTCTTTTTGTTTTTAGAGATAGGATCTTGCTATATTATATTTCCCAGGGGGGACTTGTACTCCTGGGCTCAAGGGATCCTTCCCTCTTACTTAGCCTCTGAATAGCTGGGACTACAGAAATGTACCACCGCACTGGCTTTAAGCCTACATGTGTTTTTTAAGTTTTGAATTAGTTACCAAAATCTCAAGATTTCATACAACTCCTCTTGAAGAATTGAATGTGGCAACAATGGGTTCATAATCTTGGTTTTTTTTTTGAGACAGTCTCACTCTGTTGCCCAGGTTAGAGTACTGTGGCGGGCTAGAGTGCCGTGGCATCAGCCTAGCTCACAGCAACCTCAAACTCCTGGACTGAAGCAACCCTCCTGCCTCAGCCTCCCGAGTAGCTGGGACTACAGGCATGCACCACCATGCCCAGCTAATTTTTTCTATATATTTTTAGTTGGCCAATTAATTTCTTTCTATTTTTAGTAGAGATGGCGTCTCGCTCTTGCTCAGGCTGGTCTCTAACTCCTGAGCTCAAACGATCCGCCCACCTCAGCCTCCCAGAGTGCTAGGATTACAGGTGTGAGCCAAGACGCATGCCTGGTATTCTTGTTTGATAGCAACTAACCAGAGCAAAATAATGACTTTGGCCTTTATATGAAGCAGGAATTCTCCAGGTCATTACAGTCTCAACACTACCTATTTTTCTTACATCTAACAAATTATCTGTTTGACCTCATAGGCATTTGAATTTTCAAAACCTAATCTAAAACACAGTAGTAAAACCAAAACTAGAGTTTCTTGATGTATTGCCCATTTATCTTATTATTGTACTTCTATAAATATATAATGTTGTACTGATTGTTATTCATGAGATAGACTTATACTACACAGTATGTATTTTAAAACACTGAATTTCAATACTGAGTTTAAACTCTTATAAGTTTTGCTGGCCAGAGTGCTAAATGAAAGTGATGGTCAGTTTAAAAGCATGTAAGGGGTGCTATGATGATGGCTTTTGAAAATTCGGTCTTTTACCAATATGTACATAATTTTTTTTTCCTTTTTCAGTGACAATATAGAGAGACCTATTAGAAGACGACGTTCTTCAGTAAGAAAGACATACTTAATGTTTGTTACCTTTTATTGAATGATAACTATGTATCACAGTAACTTTGTGGCTTTATCATCCCACCCCCACTGGTTTCCTATTGCTCCGTGGATAAAGACTCAAATAATTAACCTGGTTATACAATTCTGTAAATATACTAAAATTCATATTTTATTAATTTTATGATTTTACATTATGTACATCATACTTTGATAAAGCTGTTCAAAAAATATGTTTAACTTGGTGTACAAAGCTGTTGCAAGAGACAAAAATCCAACCCAAACTGATTTAAGTATAAAATATATTGGATTATGATACTAAAAAATCCAAAGATAGGGATGGATTTAGGCACAACTTACTGACCAGGGGTTCCAATAATGTCACCAGTTCTAGGATATACTTTCTCTTTTTTTGTTCTGCCTGCCTACGTTGGGTAATCAAGATAGAAAAGATTCAGAAATGAATCATGTTGGCTCAATTATTCTGATACAGGTCAAGTCCTCTTTCCTGAACCAATCATTATTGACAAAAGAATATCAGATTGTTCTAGACAGGGCTACATGTTGTACCCTAGAGTTGGTGTAGAGCAGACTTGGGGAACCTTTTTATGTTGGAAGCCTTCATTAATTTAGCTATAATAAAATAAGGCCATATTCAAGAAGAAACTTCAATTAAAAATACTTAAAAATGTTCATTGTTTTGTAAAAATCTAATTACTATGTACTTAATAATTTCACAAAATGAAAACTGTTTGTTAATTTTAAAGTTATCTAATCTTTTAATGATTCTGTTGTGTCTGCATTTTGTTAGAAAGCATTTGAATATTTGGTTGCAGCATGGAAGTCTGCAGTTTCAGTTGATCCTCTAATATGGATATCAGTTGTGGCCTTATGGGTGTCTTGATTTGGGTTAGGTAGTAGAATGTTGATTTGCAGGAGTAAGTGGTTGAAAAGCAAAGAAGCATTTCTTAGGTATGTTGCCAAAGGTGTGGATATTCTACTACATTTTTCCATATTTCAATTGGATCTTTCCTACCATCAATAACTTCAAATTGTCATTTATTGAGAGCTCAATCAATTCCATCTGTAGTTCTTTTTTTTTTTTTTTTTACAGCAGCCTGTATCTGTACCATCTGTAGTTCTTTAGGTGCTTTGGTGATGTCAACTAGGTGAGGATGACATACTAATTTGAGTGTGATGTCATGATTCTCAAAGGGATGAAACTTTCATTATATTCTCCAATTCATAGGTCTTTAACAGCTATGTATTTTTTTTTTAAGACAGAGTCTCACTTTTGTTGCCCAGGCTAGAGTGAGTGCTGTGGCATCAGCCTAGCTCACAGCAACCTGAAACTCCTGGGCTCAAGCAATCCTATTGCCTCAGCCTCTCGAGTAGCTGGGACTACAGGCATGCAACTATGCCCGGCTAATTTTTTATATATATATTTTTAGTTGGTCAACTAATTTCTTTCTATTTTTTAGTAGAGACGGAGTCTTGCTCAGGCTGGTTTCGAACTCCAGACCTCGAGCAATCCACCCGCCCGCCTTGGCCTACCTGAGTGCTAGGATTATAGGCGTGAGGCGCCTGACCAACAGCTATGTATTCTTTAAATGATTTGCATGTATCACCTCCTCATCAGTGACCTTTGCTAACTGAGAAAAATGTTCATCTGAAATTTCCTTTTGAAGAAGTTTTTTGAAAAAAGACAGCTTTTTTTCAAAATGTTTGGATTTTTTGCCATATATCATATACAGACTTGGTTTTACCTTGCCAAGAAATTTTTTTTATACTAAAACAGATGCTTTTATTTACAAGTGGCTAAGACAGACTTCTGTTTTCAAATTATCAAATTCAACGTTTGTTTAGCTGGGAAAATAAAATGAAATGTTGGCTAAAAGGGAGAAAAGGAAGTGAGAAAGCCTCAAAATTCCCAAAACTTCAGCATAACCACACTCTACTTGTAGAATGCTTCTTTCTTAATTCGCTCTCACAAGAGTCTATTTCTGCAGATTAGTTTCTTCTCAAATACTGTTAGAACTAGTAACCTATTTCTGGATACAGTATATTTAACTATGGGAGAACATTCTCAAGTTTTTCTAAAAACGGCAGGTTCTCTGTAATTTGCTGTTGGTAAAAAAAAGAAATTAATATATTTTTAATTATAAAATTAACAAAAAAGAAATAAAAATGGTGGGTTCACATTAAAATAATCAATGCTTAACCACCCTAACCCCAAATGCTGTCAAAGGAACGCATCCCATCAGGATTATTCCCATGAATCTAAATGGCACGAAGCAGTCTCCTGACTATTATCTAAATCAAATATTCGTTTGTATTAGCACCTAAAACAGGGACGTCGAGAAATTTTATATCTCATTCAGATGTTGCTCCCCATTCCTATAATTTTTCTGTACCCTGTCCCACTAGACCCCTGATTCCTTCCTCACGGGAACATGGCTGGGGCAATCGGAAGAACAGACTTGGAGAGAAGAGGTCACCACGAGGCCTCACCACTCTCCTTCCTCACCTGCTCCCTGCTCTGTGGCTCAGTCTCCTGACATGGCCTCAGCTGATTAGAAAGGGAGCACTGGCCATCAATGGAGAGCTAGAAAGGAAAAATTAAACTAAAAACCACCCAACCACTAAAGTTACCTCTTGCCTGGCAGAGCCAGCTGCCAACATGAATCGCCACCGCCCACTCAGATATGAATTAAAAAGGCAAGAAATATTTAAATTGTTTTGATTTGACATGATATCACACAGAAATGCTGCATTATTATAGAAATCTTCTTTCAGTAATTCGCATTGCTGATTCATTCTTCATAAAGTTTGACTGTTCTGGCAGAAATAAAATTTTGGCTAATACTTGTGCTTGTGATAGCCAACATACTTTAGAATGATAAGGCAAATCCACATTGAATACCTCATCCTTCAACTCTAGCATGTTGAGAATGTAGTTAACAATACTTATAACTTGTTGCAAAGTGTCACTTAAAATAGTAACTTTAGCACAAAGGTTTTCTTTTTAGGATGTGAAGAAAAAAGTTTTTAATTAAAAAATGGCAAATTGTTTACCACACTTCCATATAAGGCAAATCATTTAGCAGACATTTAATTCTAGTACAGAGATTTTGCTGATACAAGATATATTGAAAAGAAATGAAAGTATCTGGATCTGTTAATACTTTTGTTTTGTTTTGTTTTGCTTTTTGAGACAGAGTCTTACTCTGTTGCCCCAGCTAGAGTGCAGTGGCATCATAATAGCTCACTGTAACCTCAAACTCCTGGGCTCAAGCAGTCCTCCTGCCTCAGCCTACCAAGTAGCTGGGATTACAGCCATGCACCACATGGCAATTTTTCTATTTTTAGTAGAGACAGGGTCTCATTATTGCTCAGGCTGATCTTGAACTCCTGAGCTCAAGCAATCTCCCACCTCAGCCTCCCAGGTGCTAGGATTACAGGCTTGAGCCACTGTGCCTGGCCAGTTATTAATAATACTTTTTTTTTTTTATCTGTGCAATAAACCCTTCATGTTTTCCTGTCATGGAAAGTACACCATCTGCACAAATACCCACTAAATTTACCAAATTCAGTCCGACTTCACGACGCTTATCTTGAAAGTTGTTGAAGGATTCTGTTCCCTATGTTCTGTTCACAAGAGTACCCAAAGAGGGTAACTCTTCATAGCAAAGAAAATCTTCTGTTATGACCCAAATGAAGAAGTATAAAACCTGCACTAAGTCACTAGTATCAGCTGATTCATCTAAAGCAATTGAATAATAAATATTTTCCTTTTGAAGTATTACATGAAGTTGTTCTCTTAAGTTGAAGGCTAATTCATGTTGCCCATCAGTTATGGTTCTTGAAAGAAGCAGTTGTTTGTACTTTCATATATTATTGGCGTCTAAGCATCCTACAACTTCAACAATGCATTCTTTCACAATTTTTACATCACTGAATGGCTTCCCTTTCCCCCCCAAGTATATAAGCTACTTTATAAGTTGCTTCAATGGCATGATTTCCAGGTTGTATTGCTGCTTGAAAGAATTGTCTTTGCTTTTGTTTTCATCTTTTATTAATAATTTCTGCAGTACAACCTTTGTTCCTCTCCTTGTAATTTAAAACATCTGTGGTCCTTGTGAGTGTTAAAATGCTGATGAACATTGAATTTCTTTAATGTCGATATTGCATTATCACAAAGTAAGCAAATCATCTTTAGCAGAAACAAGATAATATTGCAATTCCAAATCTTCATTTAAAAAAATCTGTTTTCTTCCTTCAGCGTTCTCTTGGTCTTCCTTGATATGATGGGCTGTTAAGCAGACAGAATTAAAAAATATGTCAAGCTGGGCAACTATTCACAAATTCCACTTGAAACAAAAACACAGTGCACTGTTGTTAAAAGTGGATAACAGACTGGCATACTCAACCTCCATAAATTCTTGACAACCAGCTTTATGCAGTAGTAGTGCCAGTTAGGCGGGGAAGTTAGAACTAAATCATGAACATAGCAGCCGTCAAGTTAGCCCTATGACTTACTAATGTTATTATTGTGCCTTTCAATCTGGGAAGATTATTTCATTGAAACTTATTTTACTTTTTGGTATTTTAAATATGTCCATTTTAAAAATAAAATATAAATATAAAAGATGAACAAAAAATGTATTAATAAAAATAATGGGATTTGTTCTGTAAAATTTGGATTCAGTTAAAAGGCTGCACTTAAGGACCTAGAAGGCTGCATGTGGCCTTAAGGCTGCAGATTCCCTACCCCTGGTGTAGAGCTTCACTCAGACTATATGGGATGAAAGTAGGCAAATTAACTGGGGAAAGTGGAGAGGTAGAAGAAAGATGTAAAATCTTTGAATCTGCCAGGCAGTAGGAATTTGAGGAATTTCAGAGGTTTTTATAGAAATTTTAGCTTTCTACTCATGGTATAACTTGAAATATACTGATTCTTACCAAACATGCCAGATCCTAAAAAAATCTAATCATTACCTCTAGATTTTGAAACCTCCAAGGAGTCCTCTCCAGGACCTCAGAGGTGGGAATGAAATAGTTCAGGTAAGTCCCTAGTGCAAATGCTTTATAGATAACTATTTTCAGTGATTTTTTTAATAGTAAGGAACTTCATTAGCTTTACAAAGAGAGAACATCATAAATGATTCCCAACTGAATGTTTGTACAATGGCCTTTATTTTATTTATTTATTTTTTGAGACAGACTCTCACTAGAGTGCTGTGGCATCAGCCTAGCTCACAGCAACCTGAAACTCCTGAGCTCAAAGGATCCACCCGCCTCAGCCTCACAGAGTGCTAGGATTACAGGCATGAGCCACGGTGCCCAGCCTTACAATGGCCTTTAGATTAAAATCCAAAAAATTGACATCTCCTCCACTGTGGCGGTTGACCCATTCCTTCTCTGGAATGTACTTAAAAAAGAAAAAAGAAGAAAACGTCCTAACAATTGTATGTGCTGACATTCATGATATTTAACTCTTATTTAAGTTTTTAGCCTTCTTTCTTATTACTCTCATAAATGTAGCCCACCATTCAGAATTGCTTACCATTCCCCAAACGACACGAGCTATTGGGCCTGCAACTTTTGGGTTTTTTATTTGTTTTGAGACAGGGTCTAACTCTGTCACTCAGGTTGGAGTGCAGTGGCATCATCGTAGCTCACTGCAACCTCAAACTCCTGGGCTCAAGTGATCCTCCTGCCTCAGTCTCCCTAGTAGCCGGGACTATAGGTGTGTGCTGCCATGCTTAGCTAATTTTTTAATTTTTTGTAGAGACGGGTCTTGTTATGTTGCCCAGGCTGCCCTTAAACTCTTGGCCTCAAGTGATCCTCCCACCTTGGCCTTCCAAAGTCCAGGGATTACAAGTGTGAGCCACTACACTGGGCCAGTGAGCCTGCAATTATTTTTATATGCTCTTCCCTCTGTCTAGGTAGCTAGACCCTCATTCTTTTTTCTCCTATCATTTTATGAAAAGTTTTTTCAAAAAGTAGAAAGAATTTTACAGTGAGTGCTCGTATATTCATCACCTAGATTTTATAATTTATAGTTTTTCTTTTTCTTTTTTTTTTTTTTTTCAGGGACTAGAAGTTGGAGTATAATTTATATTTTTTCATACTTGCTTTATCATAAATCTGTAGCCCTCTTCTTCCTTTTTTTTTTTTTTTTTTTTGAGACAGGGTCTAGCTCTGTTGCCTGGGCTAGAGTCAGTGACATGAGCATAGATCACTGCAGCCTCAAACTTCTGGGCTCAAGAAATCCTCCTGCCTTAGCTTCCCAAGTAGCTGGGACTATAGGTGTAATAAGTCACTGTGTCTGGCCAACCCTCTTGTTTATTTAGGTAATTCCTATTTGTCCTTCAAGACTCAGCTTTGGTATCACCTCTCTCAGAAAGTCATGCCTTAACAGATTCTATTGTAATTATTAATACTTACTTCTGTCCATTGTAAGTTGAGAATTCTCTGAGAGCAAGAATTTTATTATGTGTTTTTTGTATTTATTGTGTCTGGTACATTCTTGGCTTTTAGTATATTTTGTTGATTGTAAAAACACATATACTTTTGGAGACATATAATTTTGGCCTCTCTAATTTTTCTATTTCTCAAACACATCAAGCTTTTTCCCACATCAGGACCTCTGCACATATTCTGCCTAGACTCAAACTTTCCTTTTTTTTTTTTTTTTTTTTTTTGAGACAGAGTCTCGCTTTGTTGCCCAGGCTAGAGTGAGTGCCGTGGCGTCAGCCTAGCTCACAGCAACCTCAAACTCCTGGGCTCGAGCGATCCTTCTGCCTCAGCCTCCCTGGTAGCTGGGACTACAGGCATGTGCCACCATGCCCGGCTAATTTTTTATATATATCAGTTGGCCAATTGATTTCTTTCTATTTATAGTAGAGACGGGGTCTCGCTCTTGCTCAGGCTGGTTTTGAACTCCTGACCTTGAGCAATCCGCCCGCCTCGGCCTCCCAAGAGCTAGGATTACAGGCGTGAGCCACAGCGCCCGGCCTCAAACTTTCCTTTACTCAACTCTTCTTCTGGCTAAATTCTCTTTTTTTTCTGCGACAGAGTCTCACTCTGTTGCCCTGGCTAGAGTGCCGTGGCGTTAGCCTAGCTCACAGCAACCTCAGACTCCTGGGCTCAAGTGATCCTTTTGCCTCAGCCTTCTGAGTAGCTGGGACTACAGGACAGCCATGCACCACCATGCCCGGCTAATTGTGTGTGTGTGTGTGTATGTATATATACACACACACACACACTTTTTTTTTTTTTTTTTAGTTGTCCAGCTAATTTCTATTTTGTTAGTAGAGATGGGGTCTTGCTCTTGCTTAGGCTGGTCTCAAACTCCTGAGATCAAAGAATCCGCCTTCCAAAGTGCTAGGATTACATGCCTGAGAGCCACCTCACCTGGCCTTATTTGGCTAACTTCTAACTAATACTTCATGCCACAACTTAAATGTACCTTCTCAAAGAAATCTTCCCTGATTCGAAGGCAAATATACATCTTTTATGGAGTTTTTCCTTCATAGCACTTCTCATGCATTAAATTTTATATTTGTGTTAATTTTTGTTTTAATATCTTAATCTACTCTTCAGTAGAGTCGGGACTGTATCTGTTTCCTTTACCACTATTTTTCCATCACCCAGCACAGGATCTGGTATGGGTGTATTTATGTTTGTGTTTTGTTTTGTTTTATTTATTTATTTATTTATTTATTTTCCATCCTAGTTTGTCCTATGTTTTGTTTTATTAATTGAACAAGTGTTGAATGACTAAGTGACAGATTCATAGACTTGTAGAGCTTTTTTTTTAAAGAGACAGCGTCTTGCTGCCTAGGCTGAACTTGAATTTCTGGGCTCAAGCGATCCTCCAGCCTCACACTCCCAAGTAGTGTCATAGAGCTTAAAAATCAATAGGACCTAACCAGTAATCTTGAATCTAGTTCCTTCAATTTATAGATGAGAAATATGAGGTCCAAAGAAGTTAGATGTTTTGCCTAAGCCTGCCTACACAGCTAGTTAGTGACAGATCTCAGATTGAAACTGATTTCTAGCTCAGTGCTCTTTCTTATATTTCATAGAAGTTTCCATTTTTCTTTTTTTTAGTAAGAAATATATTAGTCTCTTTTAGCCCTGGTGTTTACCATGTATTATCATTGTCATATTAAGCTTAGGGCTACCTGTAGTGTCTGCTAGGGCCATAACCACATAGACTGCTTGATGCAGAGGGTATACTATTCCTGATTATTATTATAAAAAGACTTATGATCAGGTATTGAGAATTAACCCAGTAAAATTCTCTGTGGATTTTGTTTCTTTGTTTTTTTTCTTTGTGTGTGTGTGTGTTTTGTATCCATGTGTGTAGAAATATTTGCTTTTTTAAGGAAGAAGGTGGAGAAGGAAATTAAAGATAGTATATTGCAATGAAAAGTTGTTCAACATCACTGATAATTAAGGAAATGAAAATCAAAACCACAAGGAGATACCACCTCACACCCATTAGGATGGCTGTACAAAAAAACAAAAGTAATAAGTGTTGGTAAGGCTGCAGAGAAATTGGGACCCTTTTACAATACATTAATATAAAATGGTGCAGTCACTATGGAAAACAGTATGGCAGTTCCTCAAAAAATTAAAAATAGAATTACCATATGATCCAACAATTCCACTTCTGGGTATATAGCCAAAAGAATTGAAAGCAGGATCTCAAAGAGATATTTGTACACCCATGTTTATAGCAACATTATTCACAGTAACCAAAAAGTGGAAACATCCCAAGTGTCCATCAGTGGATGAATGGATAAACAAAATGTGCCTGTGTGTGTGTGTTTGTGTGTGTGTGTGTGTATATATATATATATATATATACACGTGTATATATATATACACACACACACACAATGAAATATTCAGCCTTAAAAAAGAAAGAAATTCTGACACATGTTGTGGCATGTGAAGAATTAATTCAGAATAAGACCTTTGTCTATAGGTATGGAGACCTAATTCACAGTGGTTTTACTAAGAGTCGTACCATATATTCTTTGCCTTTAGGAATCCAATGCTTTGAGGAGTAAGAAAAACTCTCGTCGAGTCAGCTTTGCAGATACTATAAAGTAAGTTGAAAGGAGAAATAATGAAAATGTTACAGGTAATGCTTTTTTGTGTGTCAAACCAAGTCTGTTGGTAACTTGGATAATCTGTATTTCAAGTAGATAAACGTTAGAAAGTTGCTATTTAAAAGCCTGTTGGCCAATGTGGTGGCTCACACCTGTAATCCTAGCACTCTGGGAGGCCGAGGTGGGTGGATTGCCCAAGGTCAAGTGTTTGAAACCAGCCTGAGCAAGAGGGAGACCCCGTTTCCACTAAAAATAGAAAGAAATTAATTGGCCAACTAAAAATATATAGAAAACATTAGCTGGGCATGGTGGCTCATGCCTGTAGTCCCAGCTACTTGGGAGACTGAGGCAGAAAGATTGCTTGAGCCCAGGAGTTTTAGGTTGCTGTGAGCTAGGCTGACGCCACGGCACTCTAGCCTGGGCAGCAGAGCCAGACTCTGTCTCCAAAAAAAAAAAGGCTGTTATTCAGTATTATGTTTAGAAAAGAAACAGGCTGGGCATGATAGCTAAAGCCTATGATCCTAGCACTTTGCGGGCTAAGGCGGAAGGATTGTTTGAGGCCAGGAGTTCAAGACCAGCCTAGGTAACGTAGCAAGACCTCATCTCCACAAAAAATAAAGTAAAATAAAAAAATTTTTTGAAAGAGGGATAAAAGAATGATTAGGTCAGAGCTCATTAAAAACCTGTAACATTTTAATTTGCTAAACTAATTTTGGTATTTGAGATACTAATAGCACGTGGTATAACAAAGAAGAGGCTGAATTCAAATTGTTATTTGTACCTATCTCAACTTAGACTATAAGTTAACACCAAAAGATTCTAATTAAGAATTATAGATTTTCAGGAATCTTTATTTAATTTTCTAGGGTATTCCAGACAGAGCCTCATATGAAAATAGTGAGAAAGTCAGAAATGGCAGGTAAATATGTTACTATAACTTTTGCTAAATCTGTTTTCTTTAAAATTTTACTGTGCATGTCTAACCAGATAACTTATTGTCTATCTTACTGTTTAAAAGGTATACCTTGAGGCCAGGCATGGTAGCTCATGCCTGTAATCCTAGCACTCTGGGAGGCTGAGGTGGGAGGATTGCTTGAGGTCAAGAGTTCGAGACCAGCTTGGCAAAAGCTAGACTACAACACCCCCTCATCCCCTCCACTCCCCTCTACTAAAAATAGAAAGAAATTAGCCAGGCGTGGTGGTTCACACCTGTAGTTGGGAGGTTGAGGCAGGAGGATCCCCTTGAGCCCAAGAGTTTGAGCTTGCTCTGAGCTAGGCTGATGCCACAGCACTCTAGCCCAGGCAACAGAGTGAGACTCTGTCTCCAAAAAAAAAAAGTATACCTTGAATCATGGGGATAGAGAGGAGAGTGGATAGTTAGTAATTTCTTTTTTTTTTTATAATTCTTGTTAATATCCTTATATAATTTTTCTAATGTTTTTATGAGTGTATCCTTGAACAAACTTAACTTTTATTTTATTTTTAGAAACAGAAGCAGGAGAAAATGTCCTATTTATACAGTAAGTAAGAGAAATGTTCAAATTATATTTTTAAAATTACAAATTTTTTTATTTTCGTGTCCCTTTTGTGGAATACTTAGGATTAATTCAGAATACAAATTCTTTGCAGAATTTAGTAAACTGCTATAGCTGATAAATATGGACATTTTGCAGCTTATAGTTTTAATAGTGATGAAACACTATTTTCATATATAAATCCTTAAATTCATCAGATAGTATAAAACAATAAATAGCAAGTCTTCATATTTGTGTCATTAATCTTTCTTATAATATTAATAACTAGAAGAGTAAATACCAGTGTCTCTTTCACAAATGAAAAAATGGTTATCTTTATTTATGGTAAGAGCGTTTCAAATTTAAACTGTATTGGATATTATTGTCTGTCTAATCAGTTAAGGATTAAGATAAAAAGTCACTCATTGCTAGGTGGAGTATAAATCATAGAAAGCAACTTGGCAGTATCATTCAAAATTTCAAATGCATACATCCTTTGACTCAGCAATTTCATGTCTGGGAATTTATCTCACCAATATACTTTTGAATGTTTGAAATGATGAATAGATAAGGTTATTCTCTGCAGCATTTATTATAATAGTAAAGGTTGTGAAGGTTCCTAAAGGTCCATCAGAAAGGACCTGGTTAAATTAATTGCACATTTTCCATATAGTTGACTACTGTATAGCTAGGAAAACAAGATTTTCTTTTTATATGTACTAAGTAGAAAAATCTCTATTACTTTCTATAAAAAGCAAGATGCAGGCCAGGTGTAGTAGCTCGCACCTATAATCCTGGCACTTTGGGATGCTGAGGTAAGAGGATCACTTGAGACCAGGAGTTTGATACTAGCCTAAGCAACATAGTGAGATCCCATCTCTACAAAAAATAGAAAACTTAGCTGGGTATGGTGGCACACATCTGTATTTCAAGTTACTTGGGAGGCTGAGGCAGGAAGATGGCTTGAGCCCAGGAGTTTGAGGTTACAGTGAAGTATGATTACACCATTGTACTCTAGCCTGGACAACAGAGAAAGAACCTATTTCCAAAAAAAAAAAAAATTATTGAACCAAAGGAAGCCAGGTGCAGTAACTCAGGCCTGTAATCCTGGCCCTTTGAGAGGCTGAGGTGGAAGGGTTGCTTGAGGCCAGGAGTTCAAGACTAGCCTAGGCAACATAGCAAGACCCCATCTCTACAGAAAATTTAAAAAGCAAAAAAGAAATGGAAGTAATAGTAGTCATGGTTTCAAGAAGTTACAGAAGGACATAAATTGAAAAGTAAATATTAAAAAGTAAAAATTGGCTGGGTACAGTGGCTCACTCCTATAATCCCAGCAATTTGAGAGACAGAGGCAGGAGGATCGCTTGAGGCCAGGACTGGGAAATATGGTGAGACCTGACTCTACAAAACATTAAAAAAAATATATTAGCCACTCATGGTAGCACATGCCTGTAGTCCAGCTACTCAGGAGGCTAAGGTGGAGGGATTGCCTGAGCCCAGAAGTTCAAGGTTACAATGAGCTATGTTCTTGGCACTCACTCTAGCCTGGGCAATAGAGTAAGACCCTGTCTCTGCAAAAAATAAAAAAGTGGTAACAGGTACATAAATAACCAAAGTATAGAGCTTGTTTGGTGAATCTTCATGCTCACATTTTCTGGACAACTGCACATAGATAGGGTGTGAGACATTTCTTATTCCTTTGGTCCAGAAAGCTTTGTTGAACCTGATATCAATGTTCATATCTGGAGTTCCCATCTCCTTCATGACAAATTTCCTGATCTCTTTGAGTGCCAGATGGGCACCCGTCTTGAAGCCCGCTTGATGTGCTTGTGAATATTGATGGCATGTTCTGGGGTCACCATCTCACTGATGGCAGAATGGCCCTTCTTCTGACCACCCTTCTTTTCTGGAGGCATTCTGCCCCACCCAAGAAGTTTTTTGAATACATTCAAACGCATGTTTAGCTTTTGCTTTTTAAACAAGACAAAAATGACATCACTTAATAATATGTCTGGTAGCAGTTTCCATGTTATTACATAATGATGAACTTAGTCTGTTATAATCTATTATATGTCTGCACCAACATTTAGTCAGCTCCCCATTGATGGAAACTTGGGTTGTTTCCTTTTATTTACTTTTTTTAAGGCTAAATTTCTAGAAAAGGAATTGTATTACAGGTCTTTTTTTTAACAAGCAAGTGGCATATATTAAGTATATTTTTATAGTATTCTTGAAATTAACAAACCATTAAGACCAATCTGAACAGTGTCCTTTAATTGCTTTATAATTTTTTTTTTTTTTTTGAGACAGAATCTCGCTTTGTTGCCCAGGCTAGAGTGAGTGCCGTGGCATCAGCCTAGCTCACAGCAACCTCAAACTCCTGGGCTCAAGCAATCCTTCTGCCTCAGCCTCCCGAGTAGCTGGGACTACAGGCATGCGCCACCATGCCTGGCTAATTTTTTCTATATATATTAGTTGGCCAATTAATTTCTTTCTATTTATAGTAGAGATGGGGTCTGGCTCTTGCTCAGGCTGGTTTCGAACTCCTGACCTTGAGCAATCCACCTGCCTCGGCCTCCCAGAGTGCTAGGATTACAGGCGTGAGCCACCGCACCTGGCCATTGCTTTATAATTTCTTCAGCCAGTATTAGATGAGTCTCTTTTTAAAAGATGTCTTTGCAATTTTCTGTCATTCTTTTTGTTGTTTTGTTTTGAGTCAGGGCTAGTTCTGTCGCCCAGGTTGGAGCGGAGTGGTGGGTTTCATAGCTCTGCGGCCTTGAACTCCTGGGCTCAAGTGATCTTCCTACCTCAGCCTCCCAAGTAGCTGGGACTACAGACCTGTGCCACTATACCCAACTAATTTAATTTTTAAGTTTTTTTTAGAGATGGATGTCTTGCTGTGTTGCCTAGACTGGCCTCAAATTCTCGGCCTCAAGTGAGCCTCCCACCTTGACCTCCCAAATTACTGGGATTATAGGTGTGAGCCACTGCACCTAGCCCTCTGCCAGTCATTCTATGAAAACCTTTTACTTTCCTTATTCTTCTGTTGTTGAAAGATTCTTGGTAATTGTTTGGGGTACAGATTATAAAACTACTTCTTAATTTTTAGGAATAAGAATTTAGAAGATAATTACTGTGAGATTACTGGTGAGTATCAATGGAATAATTTTTTCATCATACATCTTTCTCTTCATCCATATTCCTTGATAAGTAATATGTATAAGAACCATGAAAAAAGAAGTAGAGAACTTTGTCATTTACACAAAGTCTTCAATTTAAAATTTCACAGACTCACTATTATTATGTTTCTCTCAAACCTGCTATTCCTCCTCTTTTCCTTATTTTGAACTCCCACTCACTCAGCCATTGACTCAAGACAGGAATCAAGGAGTCATTTTGACCTCTTCCTTTATTCCCCACTTCTATTTGGCTCTACTTTCTATTATGTCTTCTAAATATCTTGCAAATCTGTTACCTGTTTTCTATTTGTTCTGCCACTGCTTTAATTCAAGTCCTCATCCCTCATTATTTTTACTTGGGCTATTGTATTTAGTTTCTCATTCTTCCAATTTATTCTCCATATTTTTTAATCTGATTATATTTCCTCCCAGCTTAAAATGGTTCACTGACACTTTTTTGCTTAGAGGATAAAGCCCATATTCCTTAGCAGTGACTTAGAAAGTCCTTTATAATTTGGCCTGTCTTCTCCAAGATTATTTCCCACTATGCTCTAGCCCATGATGAATTATTTGCCATTCCCCATATGGACTTTTTCCTGCCTATATACATTTATGAATGGTCTTTTCTGTATCTAAAGTGTTCTTTCTACTCCAATTTGCCTGTCACTGCGCAGAGGATACAATAATCATTAATTTCTCTGTCATTAAAATAGGACCATTAAAAGTAAATGAAACTTAATACATTCCCAACACAAAAGATAAATGTTTGCGGTGATAGATATCTCAATTACCTTGATTTGATCATTACACATTCTATACAGGTATTAAAATATCACATGTACCCCCCAAATATATATAACTATTTTATATCAGTAAAACTTTTTAAAAATAATTTTATAAAAATTAAAAATAATTTAATTTGTAAGTCCTCATGAAGGGCTTAGTAATTGGTAAATACTTGTAACTGATGAAGAACCTAAGAAAAGGAAAATCAGGCTCTTAGTGATTTTTCTGACTACAGTCTGTTTTTCTCAATAGGGATGAACACATTGCTTTGTGCTCCCATTCAGACTCAGATGCCACAGAAAGAGGTATGAGTTTATGCACCTACCTGCATATTTTAATTTCTCTTGACAGTTAAAACTCAAAAAGCATCTGGCATGATTTAGGAGTGACTTAACAAAATGAATCAGCATAAATTATAAAAACTTCCTGCCTTCTCAGTTAACTAACGATAGTTAAATCACTGCTAATTTAAATAATAGATATATTATACCAAGACTATTCAAACTTTAAAGAGTGTGTGAATCATCTCAGAATTTATTAAAAAACAGATCCTTATCCAGTAGAAATGAAGTAGAACCTGAGAGTCTACATTTCTAATTATCACCTCGGTGATACTAGTGCATAGGTACACAGACCATACTTTCAGTAGCAAGGAGTTAAACCATGTCCTCTCAAAAAAAAAAAAAAAAAAATCAAGCACAGAATATAATATAAGTTAGCCATCATGCATTTATGCCTTTCTAAGACTTTTTTTATTTAGGATGAGCATGACCTTCTATCCAATATAGCAATTAGAATTTTCATTATGGTTACATTTAGAATTGTGTCTTTCATTTTTCAGTCATTTTACTGGGTATGTAATTAATCTTGAATTTGTTTTAACCATGTTTTTTTAATCTGTCCCAAAACACTAAAAGTAACTCATTCATAGACTTTAGAAAAAAAATTTAATAAATTGTATGAATGTCATTGATTCAAACAAACCAATGTGTCATGAAACCATCACTGAGGATCAATTATATAGTACATGTTGTAAAATGCCTTTTTACAAGTTTCCATTTGATCTGATCTCTTATATTTTGCTTTCATTATAGTTTTCAATTATAGAACATAACCATGAAAGGATACACAGAAATGACCAGACAGTCATCTTTTCTGATGAAAACCAGATGGACCTGACAGCATGTCATACTGTGATGATTACCAAAGGCCTTTTAGACAGTACCAAAAGTGAAAAGTCCACCAAAATAGATACTACATCATTTCTAGCTAATTTAAAGCTCCATACTGAGGATTCAAGAATGAAAACAGAATTAAATTTTCCTACAACTCAAAACACTTCAGAGAAGAAAATAAATTTCAATGACTTCATAAAAAGATTGAAAGCAAGAAAATATAATGCTTCTCCTTCTACAGGGCCTGATAAAGAAAATTTTGAGGTATCTATTTATTCCAAAGAATCAAATAGTGCCTCTTCAACACATCAAGTGCATGCACCTCTTAATGTAGATGAGAACAGTAGTAATATAACTAGAATCTTTAGAGAACAAGATGATGGGATGAATTTCACCCAATGTCATACAGCCAATATTCAGACTTTGATTCCCACATCCAGTGAGGCCAACTTACAGGAATTTAAAGGCAATGATATTACAATTTATGGTAATGACTTTATGGACTTGACAGTTAACCACACTATACAGATTTTACCCTCAGCAGGTAATTTATCTGAAATAGAAAGTCAAACTCAGAATGTCACAATGGATGTCACAACAGGTTACAGAACTAAAGCTCTAGGAAAGAAAACTGTTTTTAAAAATAAACCAAATACTGCTTTTCAAGACCCTTCCTTAAACCCTGAAGACAAAATACATAGTACCAGAAGTCATGTTATGGAGGCAGAAACTTACATGGTCACACAGACTTCTAATCAAGATGCCAGAATATTAGCCATGACCCCAGAATCCATATGTTCTAGTCCAGCTACTCAAGGTTATAAGACAGTTTTCTATTCTAGTTGTAATGATGCCATGGAACTGACCAAGTGTCTCTCAAGTATGAGAGAGGAGAAGAATTTACTAAAGCATGACAATAATTCTAAAATGTATCCCAATCCTGATGCCACCTCTCTTCTCACAGAGAAAACTATTTATTCAGGAGAGGATAACATGGATATTACCAAGAGTCACACAATTGCAATAGATAATCATATTTTTAAACAAGATCAGACAAATGTACAGATGTCAGCTGCACCAATATCTGAAAAAGAAATGATACTCCAAAATCACATAACCATGTCAGAAGATGGGCAAATGAATGTAAATTGTCACATATCTAAGGAAAGATTTCAGCAGAGCCTGGAAAATCCTTTATCTATTTCATTGACTGACAAAAAGACTCAACTCTTAGCAGGTGAAGATATGGATTTGACTGAAGGTCATACAAGTAACTTAGGAAATCAGGTTGCTTTTGCATCTTATAATTTAGCAACCAAGAATACCAGTCAATCTCATTCTCATAAAAAAAGCCCTTCAGATGAAGGGGAAAAAATGACCAAAGTTCATATTGAACCATCCCAACAACCAAATATAATATCTAAAAACATCCTAACTGACACTTGGAACAAAGAAAAAGATCAGGTTTTGAAGATTTCACCCTGTCTTGATAAAGATTCTCCTCAGTCAGCTGATTGTAATCAGGACATAGCAACAAGCCATAATATAGTCTACTGTGGTGGACTTCTTGATAAACAAGTAGCACTGGGAAATAACAGAAATACAACTTCATGTGAGCAATCTTTGTTTTCTACCACAAAACTATTATTTTCATCAGAAGAACAATCTGCCATGAATAATCATAATACTGCTGTTAACAGTCATACAGTGAAATCTGTACTAGGCCAGTGTTCTAAACTGCCTGAGCCACTGGGGAAAAATTTACTTGATCCCACTCCTGACTGTTTTCATGACCAGATTATTTGTTCAGAGGAGGAACACAATATGGATTTAACCAAGAGCCACACAGTTGTCATTGGATTTAGTTCTTCTGAAGAACAAGAACTTGGTAAAACTGGTTTAGAACACACTACCAGTCAGCTAACAACAGTCAACAGACAGATAGCTGTAAATGTTGAAAAATGTGATAAAGGTCCTATAGAAAAAACTGGAGTATTTACATCTCATACTCCTATAGATGTGTCAGAGGATGAAAGTGTACAGAAACCTGGTTTTCTGAAGAAAAGGCAAAATGTCAAAATTTGTGGAAGGAAAAGTGTTGGTAGACTAAAAATTGATGAGACTATTGTATTTTCAGAAGGTGATAAGAATGATATGGATATCACCAAGAGTTATACAGTGGAAATAAACCATAGACCTTTATTGGATAAATATGATGCCCATTTGGTGCCTTTGGCAGGAACTTCTAAAACTGTTTTATATACATGTGGGCAGGATGACATGGAGATCACTACAAGTCACACAACTGCCTTAGAATGTAAACCTATCTCACCAGATGAAATAATTACTAGGCCTATGGACAAAACTGTATTGTTTGTAGATAATCATGATGAACTAGAAATGACAAAATCCAACACTGTTTTTATTGACTACCAAGCAAAAGAAAGAACTGTGCTTCTAGACAAAACTAATTTTGAACTATCCCATAGGAAAAGCCTAGAAAAAACAAAAGTGATACTTACTCCAACTGAGGAGAGTGTTTTCTTTCCAGAAAATGATGACAGTGACCATCCAGCATCAAAAGACAGACAGTTGACATATCTGGATGAATTCTCTAATATTGATCCCATAGAGAAAGCTGTATCATTTATAGCTGATGATAACATGGAAGTGCCTAAATCAGCCACTTGGAAAAATGTCAAAGATGTACAAAAACCTGAATGTCTGAATGAACCTCTATCAGGCAAAAGTCAGAGAAGAAAAAGCCTTAGGCTAAAAAATGACAAGACCATTGCATTTTCAGGGAATGACAAAAATGATATAGATATTGCCCAGAGTTGTATGGTGAAAATAAATAACAAAAGTGCCCTGGAAGATAGAGAGGACTTAAATTTGGTGCCTGTGGCAGGAACTTCTAAAACTATTTTGTATTCAAGTGGGCAGGATGACATGGAGATCACTAGAAGTCACACAACTGCCTTAGAATGTAAAACTGTCTCACCAGGTGAAATTACCAGGCCTATGGACAAAACTGTAATGTTTGTAGATAATCACAATGAGTTGGAAGTCACCAAGTCCCATACTGTTTTCATTGATTGTCAAGCCACAGAAAAAATATTTCAAGAGTACCCTAAATTTGGAACAGCAAAAGGAAAAAACTTAGGTGTTTCTTTTCCTAGGGATGCTAACTGTGTTCAAGAAATCACTAAAAAGCAAGCACTGGCTGTAGAAAACAAAATTGTTCTTCACACAGACCAAAAGCATCATATGATGCCCTTTGTTCCTTCTAATAAGTTGTGTGGGGATCAAAGTGAAATAGAAATCATCAAATCCCATAACACTGCTGTGGATGAAGAGGTCATAGGGAAAGTTGTAGACCAGGCCCATATATTGGTAAAAGCCAAAATTGAAAGCTGTCACTTGGATACTACAGATGGAAGGAATGTGGAGTTTACAAGCAGTCATGCAACTGCTCTTTGTGGATCCTGTGATAATTGTTCTGGTTTACCAAATGTTATCGCCTGTACAGATAATTTAGAGAGTAGTATCATGTCCTTATGTGATAAAAATAAGGAGAAAGCCAAGAATTGCCCAGTACAAACTAATCTTGCTTATGCAAACAATTTAGCCAGTGAATATTACTTGAAATCTAAGGTACTGCCTGTCTCTGCTCCCTGTTCTTCATTAGAGAATGAAGAAGTTATTCAGACCAATACCAAAAGACAGTTAGATGGTGTCATAACACTACTCAAAGATCAAGATCTGATTAAGGAGCCCCCAAATCTATTAGCTAATAAAACTTTAATATATAGTCAAGATCTGGGGGAGATGACTAAACTTAATTCAAAGCGAGTATCTTTTAAGCTTCCAAAAGATCAAATGGAAGCTTTTGTTGATGATGTTTGTGTTACTTCTCAGCCTCCTCCCCTAACCCAGCAACCTCCATTGCCTCAAAAAGCACAGAGTAGTGTTAATAAAGATGAAGTAATACTGTCTAAAGCTGGAAATAAGAGTTTAAATATAGGAAATTCCTCTCCACCCACACAAGAAAACAAGTCCAAAATGCTCAATAATGAGAAGCAGTTTGCTATTGCCTGCAAAAAGGAACTGAAGGAAAATATACAAATAGCTAAATGTAATACAGTTACGGATTTCCACAGTAACTCAGACTTGACTAAGCAAATCATTCAAACCCATGCCAATGCTAGAGAAGCATCAGATCCTGTGATTGCATCTAATGTTCCATGTTTTAGTAGTTTCAACCCAAATCTGAACAATTTCAATGGAAAAACTGAAGAGTTTTTAGATTTTCAAACTGATCATATAGCACCTCCTCCAGAACAATTACTTGAATTAGGAAATAAGGCACACAATGATATGAGTATAGTGCAAGCTACAGAAATACATAACGTTAACATAGTCTCCAGCAATGCTGAAGATTATAATAGAGACGAAGAAAATAAAAAGTCTCATAATGGAACTGAAACCACCTCTGTACCATTAAAGACAGTTGTTAAAGATAAAATGAGGAGATGTTCTTTGGGAATCTTTTTGCCCAGATTGCCAAATAAGAGAAATTGTAGTGTCACTGGTATTGACGACCTGGAGCAGATTTCAGCAGACACAACTGGCTTAAATCAGTTAGAAACTCAGCCAGTCTCTAGCAAGGATGCAGGCATTGAAGATGTTGCAGCTAAACTGAACTTAAGTCCATCTCAATATATAAATGAGGAAAATCTTCCTATATATCCTGATGAGATTAATTCCTCAGACTCAATTAGCATAGAAACTGAGGAAAAGGCTTTGATTAAGACATACCAAAAAGAGATTTCACCATCTGAAAATAAAATGGAAGAAACATTTAATAGCCAAAAAAGAACCTGGGTACAAGAAGAAGATGATGATATTCAGAATGAGAAAAAAATCAGAAAAAATGAGATTAAGCTTAGAGATACTACACAAGATCTAGAGGTGAGCTTTGTCTTCTTGACCCAAGGAATGTTCTTTTGTTTTGTTTTTTTAATTGTGGATGTTCTTGAATTTTAATTTTAGCCTTGCGTAAGCAGAATTTGGTTACTTACAGAGTTGGAGAGATATTCTTATGTAGAAACTTCAGTAATTAATTGACTAACAGCTAGATTTCAAAACAATTTAAAGTGACAAGCACAAAAAAGACAAAATGGAAAGTAGTATGAAAATTAACCTATGTTGAAACTGTATAATTCTAACTATTCTGTCACCTATAGTGATTTGTCTATGTTGCTTTGTATGTGAGAATCTCTAAGGGAGATATATGTAATTTGAAAAGGCACTTTCAGTGTTATAAATATTTGGGTAGTTTAGAAAGCCTTTCTATTATGCAAACTGCATAAAAAAGGCATGACTGAATTTTCTTGACTACAAGGAAATGTAGAAGCTGGGAGTCCATTTCTTTAGTGGCTAGGAGGATACCTAGGTCAAGCCCAGTGTCTCAAAGTGAAGTAAGTGAGATTTTGTTTTTACTGAAAGAAGACAGATTTTTTTTTTAGTTGAGAAATACCTATTTGGATAACTTGGGGAGAACAAAACTTGTCACTCAAACTAAGTTTTATAGGTGGGGAAATGATTAGAAAGTATTAGGTGTTCATAGAAAATAAAGCTTAAACTATGTTAAGAAATACTAATAAGCATAGAAAATGATTTCATCAGTTCTTATCAGATGTCATGAGGAAATGGTTAGTCATAAAGATTTTTTTTTTTTTTAGACAGTCTCACTTTGTTGCCTAGGCTAGGGTGAGTGCCGTGGCGTCAGCCTAGCTCACAGCAACCTCAATCTTCTAGGCTCAAGTGATCCTCCTGCTTCAGCCTCCCGAGTAGCCAAGACTACAGGCATGCGCCACCATGCCCAGCTAATTTTTTGTATGTATATTTTTAGTTGGTCAATTAGTTTCTTTCGATTTTTTTAGTAAAGACGGGGTCTCGCTCGGGGTGGTTTTGAACTCTTGACCTCGAGCAATCCGCCCTCCTCCCAGAGTGCTAGGATTACAGGCGTAAGCCACCACACCCTGCCAGTCATAAAGTTTTGAGAAGGTTGTAATAGTAATATAAATTTAAATCTGAGTAGATTTTATGAAAATTAGTGTTCTATTTGTGCACTAGAAATTTATTGAGTGCTGTGTCTTAGGCACTGTTTTAGGTCTTGGGGCTGCATCAAATGGGAATGCACAGACAAAAATCTATTCTTACGGAGTTTACATTCTAGCACGTTGAATAAACTGTCCTCAGAGAAAACATATATAGGCCAGGTGTGGTGGCTCATGCCTGTAATCCTATGGGATACCAAGGTGGGAGGATTGTTTGAGACAGAGTGTCACTTTGTTGCCCAGGCTAGAGTGAGTGCTGTGGTGTCAGCCTAGCTCACAGCAACCTCAAACTCCTGGGCTCAAAGAATCCTGCCTCAGCCTCCCAAGTAGCTGGGATTGCAGGCACGTGCCATCGTGCCTGGCTAATTTTTTTTTCTAGTTTTAGTTGTTTGGCTAATTTCTTTCTATTTTTAGTAGAGATGGAGTGTGGCTCTTACTCAGGCTGGTCTCGAACTCCTGAGCTCAAGCAATCCTCCTGCCTCAGCCTCCCAGAGTGCTAGGATTACAGGCGTGAGCCACAGCGCCTGGCTGAGACACTGTCTCTATGAAAAACAGAAAAATTTGCTGGATGGTTGGTCCAAGTGCAGTGGTGTTTAAAACTAATTGATCACAGTCAGTTACAGATTCATTTGTTCCTTCTCTACTCCCAGTGCTTCACTTGACCAGTAAAAATAAAAAAGTAAAAGAGGCCAGGACATGGTGGCTCACGCCTGTAATGCTCGAACTCTGGGAAGCTGAGGCGGGAGGATTGCTTGAGCTCAGGAGTTTGAGATCAGCCTGAGCAAGAGCCACACCCCGTCTGTACTAAAAATAGAAAGAAATTAGCCAAACAACTAAAACTAGAAAAAAAAATTAGCTGGGCACGGTGGCGCGTGCCTGTAGTCCCAGCTACCTGGGAGGCTGAGGCAGGAGGATTGCTTGAGCCCAGGAGTTGAAGGTTGCTGTGAGCTAAGCTGATGCCACGGCACTCTAGCCCAGGCAACAGAGTGAGACTCTGACTCAAAAAAAAAAAGTAAAAGACCAAAAAAAAGAAGAATTAGCCAGGTATGGTGGCATATGCCTATAGTCTCAGCTACCCAGGAGGCTGAGGCAGGAGGATTGATCCCTTGATCCCAGGAGTTTGAGGTTACAGTGATCTATGATGACGCCACTGCACTCTAGTGAGGGTGGCAGAGTGAGACTTTGTCTCAAAAAAAATAATTGTATACTTAAATGGCTGATTATATTGTGTGTGAATTATACCTATAATCCTAGCACTTTGGGAGGCAAAAATATATATATATACACACACATATATAAAATGATAAAATAAGACAAATATGTATATATTTTTTGCCTATATATGTGTGTGTGTATGTATATATATGAAAGTATATAAAGGTAGACGAAGATGGCATTTAAAGCTGTAAAATCAGTGGGTTAAAATGGTAAAAACAGGACCATATGTTTTATTTGACTTCAGGCAAAGGATTCTGGGGAGGAAAGTAGAAATGCGCAGAAAAAAGTTTCTTGTCTGGTTTTCTGTAGCGTGGTACCCTTGCTGTTGGTGCCTAGTAGTTGAATAATTGGATAGGTCAACATTTGGTAGCTTATAGGATGTGGCTATAACTTAGATACATCTGAGAAATAATTTCCTTACACAGTATAATGCATAAAGTTATTTTTATATATTTTTAATAAACTTTTAATTCTAATTAAAGGCCTAAGTTGCCTGTTATTTATCCTAATCTTTACTAAGGTATTTCATATGAATTGTGGGTAAATTTTACATTAGAAGTAGTATTTTTGGCCAGGGACAGTGGCTCATGCCTATAACCCTAGCATTTTGGGGTGGGAAGATCACTTGAGATCAGGAGTTCAAGACCAGCCTGAGCAACATAATGAGACCTCATCTCTACAAAAAATAGAAAAATTAGCCAGGTGTGGGGGTGCGGGCCTGTAGTCCCAGCTACTTGTGAGACTGAGGCAGGAGGATTGCTTGAGTCCAGAAGTTTGAGGTTGTAGCAAGCTATGATGAGCCACTGTACTGTAGCCCAGGCAACAGACTGAGACCCTGTCTCAAAAAAAAAAGGTAGTATTTCTATTAATGTTCAACACTTAATCATTATAAGTATACAGTGTCATAACTTTATTCTGATGGTATTCCTTAATTGACAATTTCAGATTTTTGATCACCATACTGAAGGGGATATAGATAAAAGTGCTAACAGCGTATTGATAAAAAGCCCAAGCAGGACCCCATCTAGTTGCAGCAGCTCTCTGGATTCAATCAAGGCTGATGGGACCTCTCTGGACTTCAGCAGTAAGATCTTCATGAAAGTTAAATAATAGTAGCCATCTGCATACTTGACTAATAATAAATGTATTTTATTGTTCAGTAAATATTTGAGTGTTGTATATGCCCTTTTGGAGTTATGAAAAGTTGATAAGTAAAATAATATTTAGTTTATTTTAGCGAATTGCAAAGTGATATGCTACAGAGTAGAGGGATTTCCTCCAGGGGCTTATAATTATTGGAGAAACATTGAATGGAGCCTTAAAACTGTAATATACTTTGCCATGCTGCATGACTGTCTTACTTGAAAGATCCCAGTTGGTGGCTTCAGGATAATGAAGCACACAAAAACCTGAAAGATAACTAAAATTAAGTTTACAATTTAGTTTTGATTTGTTCACCACCAGACTTTGCTTTATTTCTAGCATGCCGCAATAGTCAAATGGAATCACAGTTTCTCACAGACACTACTTGTGAAGAGAGCTTGAGGGAGGTATGTTAAAAGTATTGCTCTTTTCTAATGCAGCTAATTTTCTTGTTTTTTAAAAAATTTGTTTTAAATTATGAAATATTTCAAATATGCAGAAGACTAGTTTTCTTTGTTGAGGACTCGACAGCAATTAATTGTATGGAGTAGAAATCATGATTAAAGACTGTTTTAGAAAAAGAGAGAAAAAAAAGATTATGTTTTGGGTTTTTTTAAAACTCTATTGTTATTGAATAACCTTAAGAAGTAATCTTAGATAAAATCTGTTCATGTATAGCCTGCAAATATCTGAGTAATATTTCCGTGATTGTATACAAAGTATTTATGCTATTTGGAAACAAATGAGGTGTCAAGGCTGGCATGGTGGCTCAAGGCCAGCATGGTGGCTCATGCCTATAATCCTAGCACACTAGGAGGCCTAGTTAGGTGGGAGGATTGCTCAAGGTCAGGAGTTCAAAACCAGCCTGAGCAAGAATGAGACCTGGTCTCTACTATAAATAAAAAGAAACTAATTGGTCAACTAATATATATAGAAAAAATTAGCCGGGCATGGTGGCACATGCCTGTAGTCCCAGCTACTTGGGAGGCTGAGGCAGTAGGATTGCTTGAGCCCAGGAGTTTGAGATTGCTGTGAGCTAGGTTGTGAGCTAGAGGCCACAGCACTCTAGCCCGGGTAACACAGTGAGACTCTGTCTAAAAAAATAAAAAAATCATAACTATTTTTAAAGCAAAGTAAAGGGGAATATTTAATGCCAAATCAATGGGACATACAGCAAAAGTTATACTTAGCAGGAAATTTTTTTTTTTTGAAACAGAGTTTCGCTTTGTTGTCCAGGCTAGAGTGAGTGCCATGGCGTCAGCCTAGTTCACAGCAACCTCAAACTCCTGGGCTCAAGCAATCCTTCTGCCTTAGCCTCCTGAGTAGCTGGGACTACAGGCATGCGCCACCATGCCCGGCTAATTTTTTTCTGTATATATATTAGTTGGCCAATTAATTTCTTTCTATTTATAGTAGAGATGGGGTCTCACTCTTCTCAGGCTGGTTTTGAACTCCTGACCTGGAGCAATCCGCCCACCTCGGCCTCCCAGAGTGCTAGGATTACAGGCGTGAGCCACCAGGCCTGGCCCTTAGCAGGAAATTAACAGCAGTAGATATCTTTGTCATTTTAGAAGAGTCTAAAAAAAAAAAGAAAGAAATTTTTAAACTTTAAGTTGGACAATGAAAAATAAAATAATATCCACAAAAAAGGTAATAGGACAATCAACATAGTTGAAGGTGAAGCTAATGAAATAGAAAACAAAAATTAGTATAGAAAGGATAAATCCAAAAACTATACTTTGAAAAGATGATAAAATAAGAAAATACCTGAGTCTAAGAAAAAAGAGAAAGCTAAAATATAGAAGATTAAGATTGAGAAAGAACATGAGTTCACAGATTAAGAGAGATTAAAAGAATTTTTTAAAAATTCATCAACTCTGACAATAAATTGTAAGACCTAGATAATTTAATAAAATATAAATTATCAAAATTAAACCAAGAGCTGGAAAACTAATTGATTACCATTGAAAAGTTTATTTTTAAATTTCCATTAAAATTATTAATAGGACAAGATGAGTTATAGTTGACTTTTTTAAAGAAGGGACCAACACTAATGTGGATGTTTGATATATGACAAAGGTGCCCCTGCAGAACAGTGATTTTTTTTCTATAAATGGTGTTGAAACACTTGGATATCCATAGGAAAAAATGAATCTTAACCCTTACTTCACACTATACACAAAAATTAATTCTGGACTGGGTGTGGTGGCTCACGCCTGTAATCCTAGCATTCTGGGAGGCCGAGGTGGGAGTATTGCTCAAGGTCAGAAGTTTGAGAGCAGCCTGAGAAAGAGCAAGACCCTGTCTGTACTAAAAATAGAAAGAAATTAATTGGCCAACTAAAAATATATAGAAAAAAAAATTAGCCAGGCATGGTGGCACATGCCTGTAGTCCCAGCTACTCAGGAGGCTGAGGCAGGAAGATCTCTTGGGCCCAGAAGTTTGAGATTGCTGTGAGGTAGGCTGACTCCACGGCACTAGCTCGGGCAACAAAGTGAGACTGAATCTTAAAAAAAAATTAATTCCATACAACACCAAAAGACAAGTGACAAAATTAAAAAATGAATTTTATCAAAATTAAAAACTTTTGTATTGTAAATGACACCATAAGGAAAGTGAAAAGACAACCCATAAAATGGCAGAAAACATTTGCAAATCATACATCTGATGAGAGGCTTGTATCCAAAATATACAAAGAACTCTTGCAACTCAAAAATAAAAATACAACCCAATTTAAACATGGCCAAAGGATCTGAATAGACATTTCTCCAAAGAAAGATAGCCATGTGCTGCATTACTATTTCAATCAACTGCACCACATATACAAAGGTGGTCCCATAGGATTATAGTGGAGCTGTAAATTGCCTAGTGACATTGTAATGTTGTAGCACAAAGCTCACATGTTTATGGTGATGATGGTGTAAACAAAACTGCTGCCAGTCATATTAAAGGATAATGTTAATACACAGAACTATCCACAGTGCCTAATATTTGATAATGAAAATAAACAACTATGTTACTGGTTTATGTATTTACTATACTATACTTTTTATTGTTACCTTAGTGTGTTCTCCAATGTATAAAAAAAGTTAATGATAAAACAACCTCAGATCCTTCATATATTATTCAAGAAGGCATTGTTGTCATAGGAGATGGTGGCTCTATGGGTATCATTACCCCTGAAGACCTTCCCCAGTGGCACAAAATGTAGAGCTAGAGCAGTGATATTGATGATCCTAATCCTTTGTAGGCCTAGGCTAATGTGTGTGTTTGTGTCTTAGTGGTTTTTTTTTTTTTGGTTTTTTTTTTGTTTTTTTTGAGATAGAATCTTGTGCCATGGTGTCAGCCTAGCTTAGCTCACAGCATCCTCAAACTCCTGGGCTTAAACAATCCTTCTGCCACAGCCTCCCGAATAGCTGGGACCACAGGCATGAGCCACCATGCCTGGCTAATTTTTTCTATATATTTTTAGTTGTCCAGCTAAGTTCTTTCTATTTTTAGTAGAGATGTGGTCTCACTCTTGCTCAGGCTGGTCTCAAACTTCTGACCTCGAGCTATGCTCCTGCCTCGGACTCCCAGAGTGCTAGGACTACAGGCGTCAGCCACCACAGCTGTCCTGTGTCTTAGTTTTTAACAAGAAGATTTAAAAAGTAAAAAAAAAAAAGAAAAAAAAATTTTATGTGGAAAAAAGCTTATGTAATAAGGATATAAAGAAAACTATTTTTGTATAGCTGCACAATGTGTTTTAAGCTAAGTGTTATTACAAAGGAGTCAAAAAGTTAAAAGTGAAAAGTTTATGGGCCGGGCAAGGTGGCTCACGCCTGTAATCCTAGCACTCCGGAAGGCTGAGGTGTGAGGATTGCTTGAGCTCAGGAGTTAGAGACCAGTCTGAGCAAGAGCAAGACCCCAGCTCTACTAAAAATAGAAAAATTCACCGGCATCATGGTGTGCATCTGTAGTCCCAGCTACTCAGGAGGCTGAGGAACAGAGTTTTCCTTGTGCCCAGGCTAGAGTGAGTGCCATGCGTCAGCCTAGCTCACAGCAACCTCAAACTCCTGGCTCAAGCAATCCTTACTGCCTCAGCCTCCCAAGTAAGCTGGGACTACAGGCATGTGCCACCATGCCCGGCTAATTTTTTCTATATAATTTAGTTGACCAATTAGTTTCTTTTATTTATAGTAGAGACCCAGGTTCATTCTTGCTCCAGGCTGGTTTGAACTCCTGACCTTGAGCAATCCTCCACCTAACTAGGCCTCCTAGTGGTGGCTAGGATATAGGCATGAGCCACCATGCTGGCCTTGAGCCACCATTGCCAGCCTTGACACCTCATTTGTTTCCAAATAGCATAAATACTTTGTATACAATCACGGAAATATTCCAGATATTTGCAGGCTATACATGAAAGATTTTATCTAAGATACTTCTTAAGGTTATTCATAAACAATAGAGTTTTAAAAAAACCCAAAACATAATCTTTTTTTTCTCTCTTTTTCTAAAACAGTCTTTAATCATGATTTCTACTCCATACAATAATTGCTGTCGAGTCCTCACAAAGAAAACTAGTCTTCTGCATATTTGAAATATTTCATAATTTAAACAAATTTTAAAAAACAAGAAATTAGCTGCATTAGAAAAGAGCAATACTTTAACTACTCCCTTCAAGCTCTCTTCACAAGTAGTGTCTGTGAGAAACTGTGATTCCATTTGACTATTGCGGCATGCTAGAAATAAAGCAAAGTCTGGTGTGAACAAATAAAACTAATTGTAAACTAATTTAGTTATCTTTCAGGTTTGTTGTGGGTTCATTATCCTGAAGCCACCAACTGGGATCTTTCAAGTAAGACAGTCATGCAGCATGGCAAAGTATATTACAGTTTTAGGCTCCATTCAATGTTCTCCAATAATTAAATAAGCCCCTGGAGGAAATCCCTCTACTCTGTAGCATATCACTTTGCATTCGCTAAAAAAACTAAATATTATTTACTTATCAACTTTTCATAACTCCAAAAAGGGCATATACAACACTCAAATATTTACTGACAAAAAAATACATTATTATTAGTCAAGTATGCAGATGGCTACTATTATTTAACTTTCATGAAGATCTTACTGCTGAAGTCCAGAGAGGTCCCATCAGACTTGATTGAATCCAGAGAGCTGCTGCAACTAGATGGGTCCTGCTTGGGCTTTTTATCAATACGCTGTTAGCACTTTTATCTATATCCCCTTCAGTATGGTGAATCAAAAATCTGAAATTGTCAATTAAGGAATACCATCAGAATAAAGTTATGACACTGATACTTATAATGATTAAGTGTTGAACATTAATAGAAATACTACCTTTTTTTTTGAGACAGGGTCTCAGTCTGTTGCCTGGGCTACAGTACAGTGGCTCATCATAGCTTGC